TTGTACATAATTTAGCCAATTCAAGTCACGTGATTGCAGTGATTTCGGTGATTGCAGTGTCATTGACATCACATGACTTTTATCAACAGGATTGTCTGCAGGGGGGCTGCCTTGGTCGTCAGGCACTCTTCCTGATCGGATCTGTTGAGGAGGGTGAGTATGCAAAACCAGAGGGAGGACCAATAGGACAGCATTGCACACTCTAACGTCAAAAGTGTATTAAAGAGCTAAATACTGTTTTGTATTGCTTTGCAAACAAAGTTAGCTTTTACAGAGATGACTATAAATAATTACAGTGCCATATTACAAAATAAAATATCACCAGCTGGGATTTCCAGTTATGATTTAATGTGAAAAATTAGAAGAAGTCACACAACTGTACATTAAAATGATAACATGAAATGTATTGACTATATCTAACAGTGTGGTTGACAAAACGTGCATTGCATCTTTTATTGTTTGTGTTAAAATGAATAGAATGATTCAGAGGGCAGTCTCCTGGAGGTGAAATGGTTACACATCATGCTTCAAAGGCTTATTTATAGTGACTTTCCATTTTTCTTAACAAGTTCGCATATTGAAGTATGCATCTCCCAAATCCATCTTCTTCGGCTTTCTCTGGTGAAAGTGCTCTGTGCTTAAAATATATATGAAGTCTGTGCAGTTCTCTTCACTTCAGTTTCACTATGTGGCTCCTGTTAACAGGAGGTACAATAAATTATTAACAAACTACTAAGATGCCTTATTTGAATTTTTTTTCTTAATTTGCCCTGTGAAGAAGGAATGAGAAAACCCTTTTACTTATCAAAAATGAAATGGGAAGGATCCTTTTATACATCCGAATGTTATTTCATATTTTCAATTATTTTAATAAATATTTGATTTGCCTGGTAGTCTAATACACTGCAAGAAGTGCTGAGAAGCCATACATCATTTTGCCTAAGTGGGTTGCATTCGACACTAAAGTGCTTCCAAACCAATGCCTACTGTTTCAAAGAATACCGTCATTATGAACTTGCACTTGAAATATTTTTGGTGATAGTGTATTTCTTGTATGTTGTAATTTTCAATGTAGCTGATGCATTCTACAATAACAAATGGACCGGTGAAATGTTTCAGCAGCCTTCTGGAGTTTCTGCGGAAGACAGGAAAATATGGTTGTTGTAGTCCAGGGGTGCCCAAAACGTAGATCTTTAGATGTAGAACTACAACTCCCTTGATGCTTTACATACCTTTGAAATGCTTTCAGAATGACAAATGATATTGGAAGCTGCAGTTCTATAACCGATGGATATCTATATTTTGGGCACTCTTGTTGTAGTCTATCAATAGATAGAGAGTTGTATTTGGGCACGTAGGCCCTTGGACACTAATGGCTAACCTGGATACTGCAGATATGTATGAATTGCAATGACCATTATGCTCAGCTGATTTTAAAGGAACAATCCAAGCACAAAAACCAAGATAGCTTAGCAGTAGATAGTGTAGTAGTTATAGTGCAAATCGTGTCCTAGTGTTGTCTTGTGGTAAGTAGACACACATATTTAGTGTGGTTTGACAACTTACCTGGGCTCCACTGGGCAGTCATAGCCTCTGCTTTCGGTCTTCTCCATTAGAGAGAGCGTGAGTGCTGATGTCCTGTATTAGAACATAAGAATTACCATTTGTGGAAAAAGAAACACAGACAAAAATATGCAGCAGATCATCAGCAAAATTAATATACTTGCAGCACTGCAAAAACAAAATGTCTTGACATAGTATAGGATGGACTAACAATGTGCCTGAATATCTGCAAATTTACAAAAAGAACACTGCATAGAAAAATGTGCCCATTAGTTCAAATGATATCAGCTGCCAAGTGTATTGACCCTATTGGAATACATTACAATTTTACACACATTCTACGGCAAATCCGTTTTTTTCTTAGCATGCAAGGTTCACTTGTTTGATGATTCAAATGTACACATTTTTGTAAAGTATTTTTGTATATATTTTTTCTGGAATTCACTCCATGAACTAGTTACCATATTATTAACATATAAACAAAATTATTTTGTTTTTAGGACTTAGTAAAAGGGTCAGGGAGAGCCGTGAAAATCATCTGTAAATGGAAAGTTATGGGAAATGGATCAAATTATTTGTGTGATTTATTTTCTAATGACAAAGAAATGTGGAACTGACTGTTACTTTCATTAGAAAAAGTTACAGCTAAAACAAATGATTGCTTAAGAAGGTGTGTATTTTTTGTGAGTTTTTGGTGTTGGTGTCCTTTAAAGGGACACTATAGTCACCTGAACAACTTCAGCTTAATGAGGTTGTTCAGGTGAGAACTATAGGTCCCTGCAGCCTCTCTCATGTAAACACTGTATTTTCTGAAAAAAAACAGTGTTTACATTGAAAGCTAGGAACACCTCCAGTTGCAGTCACTCAGAGTGAACCAGAGGGACTTTGGAGTTGATGGATGCATAATATGCCTCCATCCACTCAGATCTGCTGTCAGTAGAGCACAGGGCAGCACTATGCACAGCATCCTGTGATTCAGTATCTCCTCCCTCTGCATGCAGACACTGAACATTCTTCATATAGATTCATTGATTCAGTTCATCTCTACGAGGAGATGCTGATTGGCCAGGGTTGTGTTTGAATCATGCTTGATCTGCCCCTGATCCGCCTCTTTGTCAGTCTCAGCCAATCCTATGGGGAAGCACTGTGATTGGATCAGGCTACCACATGTCAGCAGACTGCTTGTTTTTCTGAGTCTAACAGCATGCAGATTTACAGCTTCAGGCTTGAATACTGTAAGATTTTTACTATATTTATGGAGGCATGAGTGGCCCACGGGGGCTAGATGGTGGTGTTAACACTATAGTGAACATTAAATATTTTTAATGTTAAAGTGTGCCTGTTAATAAAACATTAAAGCTGAATTTAAATGCTTCTCTATGGACGCTGAACATGATAATGCCGAATTTGAAGACTGTAAATTATTGAAAGTCTTCATGAAGAAGTGCCTTCACTACCTGTCTGATTGACCAATTGATTGTTTGATTGACAGCCACTAGAGGCATTCTGACTGAAAAATCTAAACATTGCTGTTATTCACAACTGGCAATGCTTTAATTTGTCTGACTGCAGGGTCTATGTACAAAAACCGCTACATTAAGATGTAGTTGTTTTGGTGCTTACAGTGTCCCTTTAAAACTGATATGGACGTTTAACATAAAAAACACTGCTAAAGGAATTTCATACGTCTAATCCACAACTTTTTTTCATCGCAGATTAAGGCATTTATCAATATATCAATATTTTGAATACATAAATCGTGAAAATTTTGAATATCTTTTATATGATATAATCATAGCTCTCAAGAACACCTTTTTTGGAAGAAAAGTCCCTTTCTGGAACATAATTTTCTGTCTCTCTTTAATGTTTCAGTGAGTTAATCACATAACTCATGAGGTGACACTCATAGGTTTGTTCACTTACCTTTAAAGTATACTAGATTAAAATCATAATGACAAAATGTGGCTAATATAGCGAAACGTTGACAATAGTTTTTGAGATTTACTGCCACTACTACTACTACAACTACTGCTACAGATTTACTACTACTACATGCTACATGCATGCCGCTGGATAGTTACTATTAAAGGGACACTGTAGGCACCCAGACTACTTCAGCTCATTGAAGTGGTCTGGGTGCCAACTCCCATCACCCTTAACCCTAGAGTGGTAATTATTGCAGTTTTTATAAACTGCAACAATTACCTTGCAGGGTTAACCCCTCCTCTAATGGCTATCTTTCAGACAGTCACTAGAAGGACTTCCGGCTTCTTAGACAACTTTTGGTCGCCTAAACAACTTTGGACATCCTCACGCTATGCATGAGGACCTCCAGTGTCACTTGAATCCCCATAGGAAAGCATTAAATAATGCTTTCCTATGGGGAAATCCTAATGAGAGCGCGGCCAATGCCGTGCAAGTACATTAGGTCTCCCCTGCCGGCAGACGTCGGCGGGGAGGAGCGTGGGCAGAGCTGAGCCAGTGCTGAGGGACCTAGGTAAGTGACTGAAGGGGTTTAATAACCTCTTTAGTGCCGCAAGAGAGGGCCTTGACAGAGAGGGAAGCTGTAGTGCCAGGAAAATGAGTTTGTTTTCCTGGCACTATAGTTTTCCTTTAACTTATTCAGCAGATATAGTCCCGCAAACAGCAGTTGTTATTTCTGTCGACCCCCTTTGCTGTGTAAAAATGAAATGAAATTAATATTACTCACCTCATTTCCAGTGGCAGGATTTCACCGCTGCAGCCTCCAGCCCACCTCCAGTGATGTCAACAAGCATGCAGATGTCACCCGCAATATCGCCCAATTCAATACTTCTCATAGAAAAGAAGTGGATTGGAGAGCGTGTGCATGGCAAAATGCCACGCTCCTCTAATCAAATGCTACTATCAGCAGCATGTAAATTCCTGACCGAGTTTTATTAGAGGTGGAATTTACACTACAATGTAAACAGTGTCGTTTCTAAAAACCTTCAGTATTTTACATGCAGGGTTAAAACTAAAACTTAATTGAGATTAAGTGGTTTGGGTGACTATAGTGTTCCTTTAACTACATATACCATTAAGGACCATGCTTCCACAGATGACATCCTATGGACAAGCTAGATTGAAGAAACACTCCAGGCACCATAAACACTTCAACATGCTCCATGATTTTTGGAGTATTCCTTTAACATAAGGGCTAATGGAGCTATGCTCTTGTAATGTACCTACAAATCCTGGCCAAAAAAAAAAAAAAAATATATATATATATATATATATATATATATGTTTAAATATCAATACCTCAACCACATTCTTGCTTTATAATATTGTGCTGAGTGAGGGGTGTGTGGTGATATATGTAGCAAACCTATTTTGTGGTGCTTGGGCAGTAAAGAGTAAATGTAATGCTGATGTTTAGCACTCTGCAAATGATCCTGCCACTTCTATCTCTCTCGATGCTTGGCATCAATCTGAAAGCAGGTATGTCCCCTTCTTGGTGTAGCATGTACTCCACCTTTTTCTCAGCCCCAGTAAGAAGGGATTGATGGGCTCTTAATCCAGCACTGCCAATTGGCTGCTATGACATTAGAACTAGATGGCTCCCATTTTGTCACATTTTTTGCTCCTTGTAACTTTATATTAGATTTAGCAAAACGTCATGATTTTTTATAGACATAATTTTTAATATACTTAACATCTAGTGAGTGTCACAGTGAGCCTTTTTAAGACTTTGTGCATGTCATATGATCTGGCACTTTGTATAATATTAAACTGTGATTTAGATTTTAAAGCATAACATAGAATTCATATTTTGTCCTATTTAAAATGTAATATTTCCCAAAACACTGGACAATAGAATTGAAAAACAACAATGGCTTTGTAGGCCATTATATTGACACTACCATAAATCACTCTTTTACCTTTACTGCCCTTGATAATATGAAAGTCTCTTACTGTACTGGTAGTACCTCCTTGACCCTGTATAAGACAGTAACTGTTAAATCTCTTGGTACATTGCATACCAATTAACACTGAACCCAGACATTACTCTCAAATTCAAATTTCTAACTTTCTAATTAATGTGTTAAAATAAATGTTTATGAAATATACATACGGCATGGTTGCATTAGTTAAAATGTAGCTGATGTTATCAGTTTTGTAAAGGTGTCTCTTCCATAATGGATGATATGGTCAGCCAAGCTCCTAATTTTGTTAATGAGTTTGACAGAGTGAGGATTGGATAAATGGTAGCACTAGCAAGTTAACATTTTTACGCCAATATAATCTAATTTCTTCTGGAGCAAAAGAATTTGAGATTTCTTTTCTTTTTTCATGCATTATTGTTCTATAAAGGAATCAGTTGTTCTCTATACATAATACCAACACAACTTACTAACTATATTTAAATCTTAGTCTCTGCTTTTTGTTTTGTTTTTATAATAAATATATAAAACAAAATGTAACTGTAGCATAATTAATTAAAGAGACACATTTGTTTGGGTCTCTGAATCCATTCCATTGGGCTGAATGCCATTTTCCCTATCATCTAGGGGGTATTGTTGTGTAGACGTACCTTTATTGAAATCTCCGCACAAATCTCTAGAGCTTAGATCTAAATTATAATTCTGTTTGCCAAACATCCAATGATGTTGCAAAATCTTCTCTGCTGATTCCAGACACGTTAATCTATAAAGCTCTACTTTTTACCATCTCTAAATAATACCCTAATCATCAACTGTGTTAAACCTAAGACACACATCTTTCCTAGTCTTTCCTAATCCCCGCTATGCCTTCAATGCTTCTTCTAAAAGGCACATAATCTTTGGCATTTCTACCCTCCCCCTAGAACTATAACTTCCAAAAGCCTTGCAGGCTTCTCTTTATCAAATCCACATCCCCATAAAAGGTCCTGGGTTATTCTATACACAAACAACTGTTATGTCTGCCTAAATGATCAAGATCCCAAGATTTTAAAAAGGACACCCTACGCACCAAAAGCCCTGCATCTTAATATACTAGCTATGCTGCATACATGCTTAGCATGATGATGCCAAACATAGCTAATTCTTCTCATAGAGAAGCATTGGATTCATTGTTTTTTTTATAATAAGCATTGGATATATGGAGCATAGTGATTGCTACGTATGCACTATAGATCCAAACTGCTGTGAGTAAAAAAAAAAAAAAAATGTTTTTACTTTTCTTTTTAAATTTACACACTACTCTTAGGGTTGCACCTAGCCAGTATTTTACCTGCTGCCTGGTCAGTGCCTGTATTGCAGTATTACTGGTAATACAAATGTCGGTATTTTTCTCAGTATAAACAGAGATTACTCTGCCATACCAGCACTGGCCATTAGGGGTCGCTGTGTGTGGATAGAGGCATGGATAGGAAGTTACAGTATATCCCCGCCCCTCTCTACTCACTGATCTGCGGGGGAGCAGCTACACAGTACATTGAGCCCAGGCAGCAGCTCCCAGCCTGCAGAGACAGCCTACAGCTCAGATGGGGTGAAATTCTGCAGGGAGACATGGGGACACTGAGACACTAGTAGACACTGGGAAACCTGGGGACAATGAGACACTTGGGGACACTGGGAGACACTGGAACACTGAGACACTTGAGGACACTGAGACACTAGGGGATGCTGGGAGACATGGGGATGCTGGCAGACACTGAGACATTGGGACACTGGGAGACTTTGGGACACTGAGACACTTGGGGACACTGAGACACTAGGGACACAGTATCCCATGTGTTTCAGTGTCTCCATTTCCCCCAGCCAGTGTCCTTAGTATCTCAGTGTCCCCTAGTCCCCCAGTGTCCCTAGTGTCTCAGTGTCCTCTAGTCTCCCTAGTCTACCGGTGTCATCTAGTCTCTCAGTGTCCCCATGTCACTCAGTGTCCCCTAGTGTCTGTGTCCCCATGTCTCCCAGTGTCCCCATGTCATTAGGACACTAGGGGACACTGAGACACTAGGGGACAATGGGGAGACTGAGATGCTTGGGGACACTGAGACACTTGGGGACACAGGGAGACATGGGGACAGTGAGACACTGGAAGACATGGGGACACTGAGTGCCCCCATGTATTCCAGTGTCCCCATGTCTCCTAGTATCCCCAAGGGTCTCAGTGTCCCCATGTCTCCCAGTGTCCCCAGCTCTGCCAGTGCCCCCATGGGAGACATGGAGACACAGACACTACGGGACACTGGGTGACATGGAGACATGAGGGACACTAAGAGACATGGGGCACTAAGATACTGATACATAGGGGACACTGAGACCTGGGGACACTGGGTGACAGACACTGGGAGACAAGGAGACACTGGGAGCAATCCATCTATAAGGCAGCATCAAACTGTAAGTAGTTTTTGGGTGATTTTTCTCTTTTGTCCCGCATACATAATTAATTATGCAAATTAGTATGGTTGGTATTTTTTTCCAAGAAAGGTTGCAACCCTAACTACTCTTCACATACTCTTGCTTAAGTATGGAAACTTAAGAAGGATGTATGGGACCAAAACTTGTGTGGACAGGCTGACAATGAAATTAGTTAAAGTAATGCTGTCATGTATACTTCAACTCCATGTGACAAACACGGACAGAATTACCTTCCTAAGATTAAGAGAAGTGCCGCTTGGCGGTCCTCTGCTATGAAGCCTGGCTTTTGTGACATGTCGGTGGATGCCGTCTGCTGCGGATCCACATTATTATATAGCCCCATATCTGTCCATGGTAGAGATGACGTTGATGTGTGAGTGACATCACGCAAAAGATGCACACGCATGTTTCGGGGTCAAAGGCAAGCTACGGCCAATGCGATCTGCTAGAGGGCTATTTAAACTCTCTTATTCCTTTAGCTCATTGCCCTGTCATGGTTTCCCTTGATGGTTATCCGAGAGTGTGTTCCTCATCGTGTGTTTCTGGTTTTTGACTTTGGCTTCGTTTTGACATCCCTGACTTCTGGTATCCTTGACTATTGGCTTTTCCTTATTGCTGTGTCTCGTTCTGTGTCCCTGACCTCGGCTAGTATATTGACTATTCTCTGGTATGTTAAGTCCGGCCATTCCAAGGTCCGGTTAAAAGTTATCCTTAGTCCTAGGTGTGATACTATTCTGTGTGCTGGATCAGCTGTAATCCTGGCAAATGCTAACTTTGGTCTCTCTAACACTGTGGCATCCCCTTTCTTCTACACTCACTACATACAACTTTTCTCTGTCCCAGACTATATACCAGGAGCTTCTGCCTGCTAGTAAGAAGATAAGGAGACAAGTGGACATGTGAGTGCTAGGGGACAGTCCTTAGAAAGCATGGAGCGAGCATTAATGCCAAGCACAGGGGTCTGTCTGCATAGTATGCCCTTAGTTGGCCAGCCTGCAGGATTGGCAGGCAGCCTGACATGAATTCATGCCAGGCAGGCCTTCCAATTCTTTCGGTAGACATGCCCCCTTTTTGGGGATCTGTTTGCTTATAGTTGCATCTTATGAGTTTCCCTCCAGCATCATCTTCATCAGATACATGATGCTTGGGAGGTATGACTGTTTGTGTTATTGGTCGATAAGATTCTGTAATTAGGCCTATCATAATTGTCAGCTCCAGGCCCACTTGGCTCTTAATCTGGCCTTGGAGACTGAATGGGCATGATCCATACATCAAATTGGCTTCATTAAGCTAAAGGTGTTTTGGTGCTTAGAGTATCCTTTTAACAAAGATGGGACTCTAAAATAAAAATAGTGAGGGAAACATCAAAATTATTAATACACTTATTTTCATATCAGTGTTCATTTACTTTAGACTAGTGTTGATTGCCATAATGTTATTACAACTGACATGAAGCTTTAAAGTAACTTTCTAAGCCCCCAAATCACTACAGTGCATTGTAGTGGCTATGGTGCCTAGTGTGCCTGGAATCCTCACACTATTTGCAAGTGGTTTGACAACTTATCTGAGGTCCACAGAAAGAAAGTTACCATCTCTTGTGCACCCATAAGCTCTCTGCACAGATCCAGCTTCAATGCAGGGCTTAGCTCACTAGCCTAGAGCACTCAACCAATGAGCTTGCCTTGCATGGCAGTGCTTAAATCAGTGGAGATAACAAAAGCTTGTAGAAGGAGCTTTCAGCTCAAATGGCAGCTTGGACTAGCACCCGGAGGACCCCAGACAAGTTGTCAAACCGTTCAGGGTATCCTTACACAGATTACTATGATGTGGTGAAATTCAGTACCTTAAGGGTAATTCAATAATATTTATAAATAACTTGTGGGAACTACTTGAACAATACTAGACATCCTCATTTATTAAGAGAGTATTGAAAAAAAGTTTAGATACTAATTATTTTAAGTTCTCTAAATGTTGTTCCTTTTTAAATTGTATAACATCAGAGCAAATTTTATATTACATGTATGCATTCATGACTACTACAATTATCTGAATTTTCAAACCTTCTATTACATTTCACATTTTTAAAAATATTTAATTGTCAGAAATGAAAGAAAACCATAATTTCTCTTAGAAATAATCCTGTGATTTTGCTTTACCTCAGTTGTCACTCATACTTATGCAATGCAATGGAAAAAGTCGATGCTGTTGCCATCTCTCTCATTTAATCTTATTAATGCAGTCTAATAGACTCCTTGTGAATGCATGGAAGGCAGTAGATTGAATGGTTAAACAAAAACAGACTTTTTGCAAATACTATGTGTGAAAATCATCTGAGAATGAAATCGGATATAATTGGTGAGTGACTTTTTAATTTTTTTTTTAATTCTATAGTTTTTATTTTGGCCTTTTAATGCACGCTGTGCTCTGTGCATAATGTCATTGCATGGGAATTAAGTGTGTATTTTGAGTCATTTAAGATTGAGTATTTGACTGGAACCTAAACAGATAGGAATTCTTGGAATAAAATATTACATTTAAGCAAGGGAGGTATGCAAGAAAAAGGGAGATACTGTTAAAATAGTTTGATGTATTGTTTGCAAAATAAGTTTGCATCAGGGTTTTAAAGAAATGCAATATGTGCAAAAATGTAACATAGAAAATACATACATTTGTGGTTGCAATACAAATCTTGGAAACATAAATGTATATATAAAAGAAAAAGTAAAACTGTATTTAGCTTCCCCCACAACTGTTCTTTATACAATACTATCAATTACTGTATTATATACCTAGTGCAAATTATTTTAAATATATAGGTAATAGTGGTCTGATGTTTGAGCCTTTTTTTGGATATTTGTTACTTTTTTTCTCAATTTCTACATATTTACTAATGTCGGGATTGCCCGATGTCTATTTTTTTATCACAATGTTTTTTTGTTGTGTTTGTGAAACCTTTCATTGATTTAAGTATACATTGTGCTAAATGAAATGCGATCTTTGCAATGTTATGATTTTCCTCTCCTGTAGTTCTGTTTTACATGTCATTGTCTCTTAACTGAAAAAAAATCATATGATACTCTATAGAGCACTGAGAGGCCAAATGGATTCAATTCACAAAGAAAACTATTGTCACTTATGATAAAAAGATATTGAAATATATTGGTGTATACATCAAGTCATACATGAAGTAGGTGGTAAAAGAAAAAAAATACAAGCAAGGCTATTCACTAATCTGCGAATTAATAGAAATCGGGGACTGCACATTTGAAATTAGTTGAATTGGAAATATTCAAAGGTCAACAGTGTTTCTAGCGCAACTATTTTGGACTTAAAGTCCAAAGGTTCTGTAATGGAAAAAATGACCTACCTTAAATTGCTTATGTTTACATTTATATCATAAATTGCTTCTGTTTAAATTTATATCATAAAGATCATGAAGATGTTTAAATTTATATCATAAAGATACATGTATCTTTATGATATAAATGTAAAAAAGTACTCACTTTTCCTCTGTTCTAGCGCTGCTTCATGGGTGTCACTCTTCATGTAACACCCACCTCCTGGCCGTCCACCACTGCGCCTGTGCTCCGCCTCTACTCTTCTTTGATTTGCCCTGCTTGGGATGTATCGCCAAGCAGGTCAAATCCTGTCAGTGATGACGGCATACTGTCTTTGTTGCCAGTGTGCCTCCACCGGAAAGAAGTGATGTTACGTCACTCCCTTCTATACGCCCTAGCTAGCGCTAGACCAGGGATAGGCAACCTTTGGCACTCCAGATGTTGCTGACTACATCCCCCATAATGCTCTTACACCCATAATGCTGAGAAGGCATCATAGGAGGTGTAGTCCAAAACATCTGGAGTGCCGAAGATTGCCTATGCCTGCGCTAGAAGCATGTGCTGCATTCATACATATGTTCGCCAAATTGCTAGCACAATGTATAGATAAAATCTTATGCACAATCTAAAGAGCAGAAGTTGCTTGGGCATGACAGGGGCCCTTTAAAGTTTATGTACCCTGGAAATTCCTGGAACTTAAATGTTTAGCAAATCTGTATATATATGTATATATCACTTGTATGCTGAAGTAAATACACACACATTTTATGTAATAATGTTATGAGAGGTCATTTATATAATATAATTTATTTACTGACGCAGGTGAATACAGACTGATGTAATAAGACACAGACACACCATTAGGTTTCCAAATTCCTTAATACAAAAATATTTTATATGAAATTGCATATCAAAAATAAATCAGATATGTATGTATGAGATATGAGACTTCTTGTTAAATGTTTTACTGCAGCAAGAAATCGTACACTTTACAGAAAGCTATAGGAAAAGACAAAAATAGCTCAAATGGTCAAACTGATTTCAAATGCTTTCTTGATGTTTAAACCAAGTAAAAAGACATTGGTTTTATTCACTGCATAATGGATTGTAGTGAATTGTAATCAAACTGCAGAACTAAGGCCAGAATAGCTGATTTAGAATCAAAGATTATGCTAGCTTTATTGTACTTCTAATTTTTAATTTTAATTACGACAGGAGGCAAATATTTTACATATCTTTCTTTACTAAACTCCATAGCAGCAAAAAAAAAACTACATAGAAACAAAGAACAAAATCACAAACTAGCAAAGTATATATGATGTGAGGCAGTCTTCAGCACCTCCTTTTTGACTAAGAAGAGGTTGCTGAAGACCCTCTGCAGTCCGTGAAGGGTGTCTTTCAGGTGTAGATTTCCAGCACCCGCCTTGACTAGATATATGTCATCTATTGAGAAATAGATGGCATGTAGGGAAAACTACTGGAGGGATTCAGAAGTGAACTCTATTGTGTACCACTGCATGGTGTACCTCTTCTGGAATGGTAAAGGGAAAGAAGGCCTGCAGTTTTGGGACAATAGGGAGGTGATACACAAGGAGGAGTTACTAGAGGAGAACTGTGCACATCCACATCTGTCACCCTCGGGAGAGAAGCCCCATAGTATCTAAGAGCTTGTCTTGTGCTCCCTTAAAACTCTCTATATCTTTGCACAGGTCACACCCATTGCGTACCATGAAGGTCATCACGAGCAGATAAAATTCAGGTGTCTGGACAATTTTATATGGCAAAGTTGGATGTGGACATTCTAACCACAAATGTTTCCTGACGTCCCTTTCTAATGGCTTTCTAAGCCACTGGAACATGATTTGGCGGCGTCCAATCTTCAGAGCGAAGGTACCTGATGTTGTGTCAGTCAAACATCGGCTGACCCTAGGTGTCCAAGGGGACCTTGGAATCCTCCTTCTGAGTTATTTCATGCTCTCTGGATTCCACCTTGTACTGGGGCTCACACTGAAGTCTTTCAAAGCCAAGTCTGACCATTCTTGCCTACCATGCTTTGTCATCTGAAACTGAATGCCTAGCCTGCCATTCATTCATGACGGAGAGTGACTGGGATAGATCCTGGTCCTCGTCCTCAGAGGAAAGCAGGGGAGACGCTATGGAGCCAGCATAAGAACCTGCCCAGTGTGTGGTTGTTCTGGAGTTAACTCCATTACCAACTGGAAATGCTATGAATAAACATCCCTGACACAGAAAAAAAAAAATCTTTAATGAGGATTGTCATAGTCATAAACCGTCACTAAATGTGTTCAGTACCTCTACTGCATCTGGCCAAAATTCGGGTGTTTTCTTAAAATGATTCAAACCATATTTTATGCCATGCACAAGTTTAGAACGAATAATAGCTCTCTCAATTCCTTGCAACGTGAAAAAAGGGAATATACACTAAAAAGGCACTTGAAGTTGGAAGGTGGAGAGTTGAAGTTACCAAATTTTTCAAACACTTCTTTTTTGCCCTAGATTTTGGATAGTTGGCTGTCAACTAGCTGCAAATTGTTGGTTATGACAATTAGCAAACATTATGACAACACAGCAGCAAAAAGAAAGCATGACTAACTTTTATGCACTTTTTCTGAAACTGGAACGTTTTGGTGGTTGCAAATATTATTTACAAAACTATTCACTCTCGGCTAAAAGTATTATTAATTAAAAAATATGGCACAATATTTCATATTGGATGAACGAAAGCAATAAACCACGTTAAAAAATTCCTATATGAATATAAACAGATTATTTAATTCACACCATATTAAGCATAAAATGCATCCTAAAAACTCTCCATCTAGTATCTTTGTTCACACATATGTCTTTGGCCAGAATTTATTACCATATTCAACAAGCACACATTGCAATTAATTTATTTATTTACTGACATTTTCTATGTTTTTTTTAATAATACAATTGCTTGCAGAGTGCCAACATCTCTTGGGTATATGTCGATGCATGTACTTCATATAAATAATATGTGTGCATGTGCAGTTTCCTTGTTGTCCAGGTGTATAGAAAAAGCTCCATCATCATTGCTCATACAGCAGCTTATATAAACACTAGGTAATGCTGCTAGAGATTACATGCAGAATGCTGGATCTGATGAGCTCAAATATAAGATAGCCTGTGCAGTATAATATTTGGGATTAGACTCGTAATCTCTTTAGGGAAAGTGTGCAGTATCAGCAGAACAGCCTTCCAGCTCCATACAGAAATTCTGACTCACTCATTTTCTTCTTAATCTACATTTTAAAAGTGCCCTGTGTTATCATTTTCACTATAAACTAAGATTTTGAGTTAATACCCAAAAATGCAAACTGTTAATTTATGATTAAAGTTGTAAGAAAAAAATAATTAGTAATTAAAACACTTCCTAATTTATAGCTCATCAATTTTGCATTTTCTTAGAATATTCTGCAGATGCCCCATTGGTGATAGGTTTGCTGCTGTTCTGGAGCTGGTGGTAGAAAGGAAAGGGTGAGAGGGGAAGGGATATATTTCCAAAATATTTTCACCTCTTCTGGATCTCTTGGAAGCCGTAAATGGAAATTTGTCACAGCCGCTACGCTCATTGATATTCTCTAGACAGCAGGATGTTCTGTAGAGGTTATTGAGAATGCACATATAGACATCATCACATGTCACATGTGACGATAACAGTAAAGTCACCGGTCACTTAGTGATGGTATATGTCAATGGAAAACCTCAGCAAAACTTCCTCACTGACAATCAGCATGCTGTACAGGTAATACCTATTTTGTTTTCAGTCAACTTTTAATTGTGTTTAAAAAAGTAGGAAACTCATCTAATTAAAGTAAGATCCAGTTTTAACTACTTACCTTTTAATTCATAGGTTACATTTTTCCATTTCATATAGACATGACCTGCCTGACTGATCTATTTTATAATGCAGTGGTATTGATAATATTTGATGTGTCAATATTATCATGTTGTGTTCCAAATTAATATTGATATGCATGTTTAGTAGTTCCAATTCTAAAGAGTATTGGTTAATTGTTAGAAAAGCATTCATGTGGTTTATTACATCCTTTTTTGGTGTTGAATTGGCTTAGGGTCTTTTATTGTGTGAATACTTCTTCTTGGTTTGTCTGTGATCTCTAAAGCTTGGCTTTTAACATAAGGTATAGGCCCTATTTCAGTGAGTAATTAAGAAAGTTGTGTTTGTGATCTATTCTGATCAGATTGACATTGTTAACGACTCATTTGTTATTAACTAATTTACTCCTAAAATATCAATAATCCTGCTAGGGACTGCTGTTTTTCACTTTTATAGCTTCTCGGGATAGCTCTTAATAGACTCAGATGGAAATCTTTATGACAGCATCAAGTTCAAGAAGTACCACAATGAAGAGCTCATCATGTAAATGCAATTGGGAAATCAAGAAGAGCGCTGCTATTCAAATAATAGCCTTTATTGTTACATGTGGCGCAAGTCAGCCATAATCATAAACATGTTCAACTGACTGTGGCAATGTGAGTCTTTGCATTCAACTAAAATTTAATAAATATCCAAACTGAAGAACTTCTATTCTTAGTGTATATGCCCTTGATGTTAAATGAGTACTCCAATCATCTTAACCACTATAGTACACTGTAGCATGATGTAGTGGTTATGGTGCCAGGAGTGCTCTTTCCCCTCGTAAGAAGTCAAACCATTGGCTATTGGCAAACCTAATGGAATGATTTCTGATTCAAATTAATTAAATTGAGACCTGTGTGAGCTAGATAGCAACTATCCCCAGTATCTATATTTTCAGAGCTTGTCTATGCTTGGTACATCATTAAATGGGGCTTAGTTAAATAGTTAAATAGTCATAACTCTTGCACTTTTAGTGACAATGGTAAACTAGTCTCTCTGGCACCCAGTGGATACAAGATAAGTTGTGAAATTACTTTACTACTCTCACTGTGGAGGGGGAAAGGCACTCCTGGTTCCATAACCAATATAGGACACTAAGGACATAGATATAGGTCAGGGGATTGGTGAATTGTTGCTTATTCTTTAACTGCAATGGGAAAACAATTGCATGCTTGTTTCTTCTATTATATTAACATAGCATCTGCTTCACCAACAGATTCCAAGAAACAACTGTTAACCATAACATGAAAAACAGGAGATTATTAGGGATATTTCTCTGTTTATTATTAAACCATTTGCATCTGTACTTTTTTTGTGAGAAGAGCAGAATCTAGATTTCGTTCTGGTTATTACATGTCCCATAAATGTTAACTCTTCTCTTCAGTCCCATTATACATTGGGTGAAGCAACAGGATGGAGCTCCTGGTTCCATTTTAGTATTTATGAAGTCTATGGAACCTCTGTTATTTATTGTTAACCATCATACTGCTCATCAAATTGCTATGGAAATGGGAGTGCCTTTCCATTGGGCCCACTGAAGGGCTTGATTTTATTTTTGTAGTCCTTTATATGAAAAAAATATTTTTACTTTAACAATTTTTTGAAGCTCTGGAACATGCAGTGTTATGCTATTGTGAGGTCTTGGAGCCTTAGATAGGTTGTTACCTTACCAACTTATTTATTTAAACTCTACAACACTAGTCAGCTTTTGCAGACAGCATGCCAACAACTTGCATACTTCAGTTTATTGTTTTGATCTGCTTGGTTCAGATGTAGTTAGTTGCTTGATATATGCCTTTTACTTGGTGCTTAATTAAGTTTATTCATTTTTATCAGACACTGAAGTGTCCCAATATTGATTATTCAAACTATTGAGTTATTCTTTAAAGCTGTGCCAGATTTTCACCAATATATACCAGAAGTGGAATTTTTTATTTAGTGACTATTGCATTCAGATTTTGCAAAGGGATGCAAGTTCAGACTTGCTAACCCATTCTGTAATATAATGAAAATTATTTTGCTCATATATTTATCAGAGATCGGTAGCATGTAGTGGCTTTACATGGATGTAAACATACTGATCTAATATGTAGTATCCATTAAATTGCACAGAGATTTTTTGTTTAACTCAGACAGTTGTACAGATAGTCTGGACATATCACATAGCACGTTTGCATTTTAGAAAGATATGTTAATGAGATGAGAAATTCTACTACACCCTATATTGATGAGCCAAAATGTGTTAAATGTGAGGCTATTTAAACTTTGAACAAATGCAAGATACCTAAGAGGGAAGAGCAAATAGAGCTACCTTTGGACATCTGGGTCATTTTGCAGATATAAGGGGAAACCCATTGGGACCATTTTTATCCAGTTTACTCTTTTGGCTCTTGAAGAACAGCTGTGTATTTTGTATGTTTCAGTGAAAAAAGACTCAAAAGTCTCTTAAATTGTCAACAGTGGAATTTCCAAAACAAAAAGAAAGGGAATGAAAACCATGCAACCTTACACGATTAAACAAACATTGTGAAGGAAATGTAAGAGACTGTGACACTCATTAACACTGCAAAGGAAACTTGGTACCTAGTTTTAGTTACTGAAACTCAATATGTTTCTAGGAAAGCAATAGCTATGTTTCACCTTGTGTGTACAATCAATAACCAAACGGTTTAGTTACACATTCTCCAATTGTCCTTCTTTCACACAAAGGATAAATGCCTTTTATGAACACTGTACAAGTATCTTTATAGAGTTACAAATTAGCAGCCAAACCTAGGATGTTTGAAGCAATATACATCTCTGGTAATCCTTTTAAACTGAAGTCAAAATTTGTTACAGCAGAACTGCCATATTTCTATTTTTAATGGCTTACAGTGTATTCATCCAAATGATTCTAATCAAAAATTATGATCCATTAGGAATCAGAAATGTATGTTAAAAAAAGCAAAAAAAATAGTTTTTTAAATTTCATTTTTAACCCCTTCAGGACCGCTAACGGTTCAGGACCGTCAGTGGTAAAACGCGCGTTTGGACCGCTGACGGTCCTGAACTGTCATAGCGAAAAACGGGCTGCGGGAAGCGATCAAAGATTGCTCCCGCCGGTATAACACTGTAACTATCTGCCAGACATCCCAGGCAGATAGTAACAGCCAACTGCGGCGTGTGACAGGAGTTAGCTGAGGGATTGCTGTTTAGTCTGTTTTAGTAAAAAAAAAATAGAAAAAAAAGTATAAATTTTTTTTTGTGTGTTTGTAATTTGTTTTAGTCGTGTGTAAAACATGCAGCGTATGTATACCTTGGAGGAGGCATATGCCTTCTTGGCGTCAGACTCTTACAATGCTCATGGGGATTATAAAGAAGCCATTGATTCGCTCATACTGGAGCACCAACCCAATAATGTCTAGTCCAGTATTCTCCCCAACCATGCCTAGAGCCAGATACGAGTTACTGCTGAGATTTTTACATTTCAGTGACAATACCCTCTGTCACCCTAGAGATCACCCCCAATACGATAGGCTTCATAAAATACGCCCACTGCTAGACCATTTTCAGGACAAATTTTCAGATGTTTATACCCCCCAACAAAATGTATCCATAGATGAATCGCTAATGAAAAACAAAGGGAGATTAGGGTTCAGACAATACATCCCCTCAAAGCACTCTAGGTATGGCATAAAACTGTACAAACTGTGCGAGAGCGAAAGTGGATACACGTTTGCCTTTCGTGTATATGAGGGGAAAGATGGTCCCTCCTTGCTGTCCTGACTCCCTGGGGACAAGTGGGAAACTTGAATGGGACCTACTAAACCCCTTGTTTTATAAAGGTTACCACCTTTATGTGGATATTTTTTATAGTAGTGTCCATCTGTTTAAAACACTTTATGGTTTACAGACACTGGCCTGCGGAACTGCCAGAAAAAATTCCAAAGACTTTCCACGATCTCTCATAGAGGCAAAATTTTAAAAAGGTGAATGTAAAGCACTTCGCAAAGCTGAAGTGCTTGCACTAAAATTTAGGGACAGGAAGGATGTCATCAGGGAGCATAATAAGTACATGGGGGGTGTTGATTTGGCTGATCAGCTGATGCAGCCATATCTTATTTTACGAAAAACCAAAGCATGGTATAAAAAGGTGGCTATCTATCTGATGCAAATAGTAATCCACGACTCATTTTTGCTTTTTTTTAAAAATATTCCAGGGAAAACCACCTTTCTCCAATTTCAGTTGAAAATTATTTCTTTAACAATTTATGGAGATGAACAAGTTCCAACAACGGTGCAAGCTGAGTCCAGGCATTTTATTTTTAAGTTACTGCCAACGGCTGGAAACCCCCCACTCCCTCCAGAAACGTTGCTGGGTCTGTTTTAAAAACGGGAAAAGGACAGACACCCCTTTTCACAAGTACAATGTGTGTGAAAAAGCAGAAAAAAAATTACTACCTCAATGTTTGACAAAGCCTGGTGGTAGAATTAGTGCATGGAAAGTGTTAAAATACCACCATGTGAAATACCCTAGGGTGTCTACTTTTCAAAAATATATGGTTTGCTGGGGTAAAATACATTGTCCGGCTTCAAAAATGTCCCAAATAGGACATGCATGCAGGTTGACTACATGTCAAAATTCCAAGCTTGGAAACTGATATGAGCACCTGCCAAATGTGGCCTTTTAGCCCCCCAACAACCCGACACACCTATACATGGGTGGTATCACTGTACTCGGGAGATGTTGCTGAACACATATTAGGGTGTTGTTTGGAGTGACACCTAACAGAATCTGTGAATTTATACCTGAATTGCAATGTATGTGAAAAAAATAAAAAAAATAAACTACCAATGCAAAGTTTGGCAAAGGTTTGTGATAAAATGGCTGCATAGAAAGTATCAAAATATTCTTAGATGAATACCCTGGGTTATCTAGTTTAAGAAAGATATATACATGTGGACTTTATTTTTGGAGATTTATGACATAACAGTGTTACAATGTCACTATTGACACATTTGAAAAATGTACATTTTGAAACAGCAATTTCCTACTTGTACTTATAGCCCTATAACTTGCAAATAAAAGCAAAAAAAACACATAAACATTGGGTGTTTTTAAACTCAGGACAAAATGTTGAATCTATTTAGCAGTTTGTTTCATTTGATTTTGTAGATCAGTAAAAGATTTTTTAAGTAGAAGTCAAAAAACGTGTTTTTTTTATTTTTCACCATATTTATTTTTTTTTTAAATTAAATTATATGACATGATACAAATAATAGAATGTAAAGAAAGCCCCTTTTGTCCTGAAAAAAACAATATATAATTTGTATCGGAACAGTAAATGAGAGAGCGGAAAATTACAGCTAAACACAAGCACCACAAAAGTGTTAAAATAGCTCTGGTCCTTAACGTACAAACATCGCAAAAACAGTCCGGTCCTGAAGGGTTTAAGTTTTCATTTGTTGTTGATTTGCTGGCACAACATATAGATGAAATATATGGATATGTGATCCAAGGGTGTTCACTGACCTTTACAATTTACACATTAAGACACCACTAAAAAAAGAACAGTGTTTTATTTAGCTATATAGACATTACACAGTTGTTTTTTTTTATTTTTATAAAACTATATATAGAACTTGTTATACACTATGGCCTGGAGGATAGCTCTTAGCAAAGCATGTAAAGAATTTAGTAGTAACTCTTACTAAATGATTAATATCTATACCATAAATTGGTACTTTCTTTGGTAACTTTGTGACTTTGTGGGCTTCCAAAATTGAAAATTAACAAAATTCTAAATCAAAATGTGAAAATTAACATATTTCCAGACCGAAATCTGAAAATAAACAAATTTCCAAACCAGATCGGTTCACCTGAATTGATATTTTTCTAATTTGAGACAAAGTTAAATTTAAAAAATAATGAATCGATCCAAAATGAACCAAAACAAACCCAATGCACATCTCCAATTAAAACTGTTAATACTTCCACTATTTTGGTGTTAAACTCCAGTAGTTTCATCATGTAATGAGCTAGCTATAACACGAATTGCAAAAAGACAATATATGTCAATAAATTTTATTTTGTGAACTTAAATATGCTAATACTGGCAGTCCAGTATGAAATACTGTATATACTCGAGTATAAGTCGAGTTTTTCAGCACATTATTTGTGCTGAAAAACCCCCACTCGACTTATACTCGAGTCAAGGTCTGTATTATGGCAACTTACATTGCCATAATACAGACCAGGACCGCCGGGCTCCTTACAAGCCGGCGGTCCTGTTGGGGGCTGGCAGAGAGCTGTTACTTACCTTTCCCTCAGCTCCTGTCAGACGCTCCCTTCTCCTCCGGTCCGGTCAGCTCCACTGTAAGTCTCGCGAGAGCAGCGAGGTCAGAGCGTTGCCGTGACAATGCTCCACGCGGCAGTCACACCGCGAGACTTACAGTGGAGCTGACAGGGGAGCTGACCGGACCGGAGGAGAAGGGAGCTGACAGGAGCTGCAGGAAAGGTAAGTAACAGCTCGCTGCCAGCCCCCCTCCTACACAGCCCATCCACTGGACCACCAGGGAATGAGAGCACCCCTCCCTGGCCATGTATCAAGCATGGAGGGGGATGAAAATAAATAAATAAAAATTTAAATAATAAAATAAAATTATTAATAATATTAAAAAAATTAATAATAATAATAATTTAAAAAAATAATAAAAATGCCCACCCCCCACCAAGGCTCTGCATCACATACACACACTGCATTCATACACACACACACAGCATTCATACACACACTGCATTCATACACACACACTGCATTCACACACACACACACGCACACTGCATTCACACACACACTGCATTCATTATATACACACACTGTAAATAAATATTCAATTAATATCATTTTTTTGGGATCTAATTTTATTTAGAAATTTACCAGTAGCTGCTGCATTTTCCATCCTAGTATTATACACGAGTCATAGTTTTCCCAGTTTTGGGGGGTAAAATTAGAGTCTCGACTTATATTCGGGTCGACTTATACTCGAGTATATACGGTAGGTACTGTGGCCTTAATTTAATTGGTTTGAATCAGAATTATGATTTCAATCTGTTGGAAAAAAAACTAAACTTTTTCAATGTTTAATCTACAAAAAATCCCATAGACTTCTGCAGACAAATAATTAGAAATATTTTTTTTTCAAACATAATGGAATGATTTCTGATTCAAACTAATTAAATTGATGCCTGTGTGAGCTAGATGGCAATTATGCCCAGTATCTATATTTTCAGAGCTTGTCTATGCTTGGTACATCACTAGATGGGGCTTAGTTAAATAGTTAAATAGTCATAATTCTTGTACTTTTAGTTGCTCTCTGTAGGATCTGCTTATTCAGATGGATATATCTACTATTAAACCCTATTCATTTTTAGTAATACAGAGAATTATATGTCAGTGATCACTGAAGCATTTACTGTTACAATATACACTTTATCTTTTTGTTTGTCTTTTTGGTTAAAATAATTATGCAAATTATAAGTTAAAGTGTGTATCATGATACAAATTAAAAATGTTTAACATATCTAGCTTGGTTTAAAGAGAATTAGCAAACTATTAATGCAGAATCTTACACGTGATAAATATTCGCCATTGTTTATTCTGCTTATGTCACTGTTATTAAAAGAAACATGTACGTTTCAAATTATCACCTACTTTAAAATAGTAAAATAAATGATTGCATCTTTAAATTCACCTGTATCTAAATCAGCTGCTTTAATCTGTAACAGGATGAATGTAAAATATAAATTGCACTGTCAGCTGAACTGTCTCCTGTCCATTTTTTTCAGCACAAATTGAAGTGATACCATGCAAAATATGTGGAGACAAATCTTCAGGAATCCACTATGGTGTTATCACGTGTGAAGGCTGTAAGGTAAGGAGCGAACTGTGAGAAGTGCATTTGCATTGTATTTAAAATATATAAATTAATATGTGCTAAAAGTGTGTGCTAAATGTGACACGTCTTTTTATTATGCAAATAACTGAGCAGATATAGCTCTACAAATTACATTAATGCTCATCTGTATGGTACATTTCATACAGTAGATGTTTTTGATGTGAGACTCGCTCTGATGACCATTTAATCTGATCTCTTCTACACAATAGATGCATTAACTGTCTGAAGGATAGTGCATTGGATTGAGCTTCCTAGCATCTGTGAGTAGTTATGTTTATGCAGTACATGTAAGATGATATGAATCATGGAGTGAAAATAATTCTGGGCAGATATGTGATGTGGTTTAATGCTCTACAATTTGATAATAGAATGGATGTATGCCTGAGGTCCCATCACATACAGTATGTAGGTTTTTGTGGACAGAGTCAAAAAAATATATATACTAATATTATATACCAATAGTGGCTTTTATAAGCATTTCCTGTTATATCTACAAAATATGGAACAGTTGTTTTTTTTGAGAGGATTTCATCCTTCTGATGATTACTGAAAGTCCCATGAATTTGGAGGAGTGTTTTGAAAGAGGAAAGACTGGTAAAACGATAATACTAGTGTTGCCATGTTTATGAACGCACGTAGATTGTACATATGGATGGACTGGTCAAGAAAAGTGCTATCTTGAAGTAGCCTGTATGTAGAATTCAAATACAGCAATATAAGATGATTTATCAACCTGGAATCCTGTAGTATAAGAATTATACATACTGCAAGGCAGTGATATCAAGTGAAAATAAGGTGGATGTAACAACCCTGGGCACAGTTTGTGAGAGTATCTGTCTAGTGACGGTATCTGTCTAGACTATTTGAAATGATGACAAACCTGGTGAAAAAATGGTTTGATTTTGATAAAGGACCAATATAGGATGAATTGTTCTAATAGTCTACAGATTCTGCAATGCTAAGAACAGTTTTTAGGCAAGAAGCACGTTTTTTGCATTTATATTTGCAAGTGACAAAGATATTTTACAAAAGACACCCTCTATAATATAATAATTAAACTCTTCACCAGAGTAAACACTAAAAGGATAAACAACATTTATATGATAAATGCACAGTCCCAATTGTCCTAATTTTCATAGGACTGTCCCTATGAAAGGGTCCTGCAGCACCACCCCAATTTTGTTCTTTGTTGTCCCACATTCGGGAATGCCAGGGAAATGCCCTCCTAACCTGCACAGTGCAAGCGCAGAAGTAGAGTTGTTTGTACTGTGCGGTGGACACTAGCACATGAATGCTCTCTGCATGGTCTTCTGTGTTGGAAGTTGGCCAGTGAGGCTGTCAGTCAGTTTAGCATGCTTGCCACCAGTATGACATCCTGATTCAGTGGATGAATCTGTCCCCTTTCCAGAACTGTCCAGTTTCCAGGTATACCGGCTGTTATGTGCATTGCCAATAACACAATATGTATCCGTGGCTCCGCCACCCAGTGCTTAACCCCACCCTGATCCAATGTTGAAAGGTATGAAAATAGTTGTTAATTTTATGTTTTCCATATACATAATGAAAAAGAAAACTTATTATTATTTAATACAGAATATGCTTCTTAAGTAAAAAATATACCAGTAATGTCAAACAAAAAACAGATGTAATAAGAAGATTATAATTTCTTTGTTACAGCATGTTGCAAATTAAAACTGATCTAAATACAGTGCCTATATGTGGTTAATAAACTATGAATCACTATATTATACTTTACTCATGCAATACATTTTTCATACCTTGGTTTATATCTCTCTGATTTAAAGTAGGCGGCTACAGACCATCATTCACTTATTTGCAAGTAACCTGTCCGAGAGCTTTAGTTTAATCATAAATGATTTAGAGGCCCATCACACCATTAAAAATAGCGTGCAGAGTCTTGCTGATAGCATATCAACCCTACTAACAGTCGATTAAGGGTTTGCTGGGACTCCTTTTGATCTTAGTTTATTGTGTTTGCGAGATTTAACCCCTTAAGGAGCAAACTTCTGGAATAAAAGGGAATCATGACATGTCACACACGTCATGTGTCCTTAAGGGGTTAAAGAATTCTGCAGCTTTTTAATGTGCCATATAGAGAAACTTTTCATCATCTTGGTGAGGAAATGCGAACATTCAGCATTGTCAGCTTTTTCTCCAGAAAATAGGGTGCCAATAGATTGTGATCTGTCAAACTTTCCAATATATGATAAACTGCATGGAAGTTTCAATGTGTGCTACATTCCTCTCATAACAAAACCAATGTTTACATAAATTATGTGTTTTTTCCTCATTGTGTGAGATTTTTTTTCATAATATATATGTTATTTTTAATAAAATTAATCCCTGTCCCAGGCTTTATGAGATTAATAAGAGTTCATGAATCTGACTGTAGCCAGAATCTACTGCTGCCATCCTTAAGTCTATATTATTAGTAATAGGTCAAGTAAAGTGCTGGGAAAAGGGAGACCTGCAACTCCAATCACCCAGCATATCACTAATAGGAGATGGGCATCATCAATAATGTCAGCCCTGCAACTGAAGGTGTCCCTCTGTGCTAGTTTTATCCAAATCGAAGATCTTTGGAGTAGAAGAGCACACAAGGTCTGTGAAATTCATCATTACATGTGTATGAGAAAAAATATATACATTTTACTGCAAAATGGGCCAGCAATTGGTGATGAAACAACCAAGAAAAAAGACACAAAATGCCACACATTAAATAGCTCGAAATATGTTCGTTTGCAAATGGTTTACGACTACTATTTTGTTCTAAACGTGATGTAAATTAGTAATTGGGAATTTTTAAATTGGAAACTGAAATTGGAATATCTGTAAACTGAGGCTGTAACTTTAAAAAAAAAAAACTGGCCTGTTTTTAAAACGCTCAATACTGGAGATATTGCTAGGGAGCACAAGCAGAATACGAATACAATATTTTAACAGTAGAGGGACACACACAGTCTGCGAAATTCCCAATGAAAATGAGACCTGTGGGAAAAACTTGATTAACTATAACCAGATCAGATTTAAAAAGTATTAAATACTCTTAGTTAAATACAGTTGGGGGGTAGGGGAGATTGGATGGAGTCTTCAACTGCATAAGTTTGTTTAAGAATTTTTGGATTCTGTAAAACTGCAATTCCCTTCACCTTTTAAACATATATGACCCTAATAAGGTAGAAAACATTTTTGGGAGGAGTTGGCTGTAATGCAACTGATTATACATTTTATTCTGCTTCTTATGAAACCTGTTCTCACATTGATTTATTTTTTTTATCATAAGACAAGTTTTGACTTTATTTACTGTGTTGGAAATCAATTATATATCCTGGTCAGATGATGTTGTTTATATTAAAGACTCTTTGACCCTGCCCATTGGTCCTGGTACTGCATCATTGAAGGTCCTTAATAGTAAAGTGATCCAAAATATTTTTACTTATAATATCTCTTCTGAGGTATCTGGTTCCACCATTTGGTCTGTCTATAAGGCGGTGTTTCAGGGACATTTGATCAAATTGGCTACCTGTAAAAAGAAAGCTAAATCACAAGCTATATTCGAATTTCCAAGAGGCTCTCCATGAGATGGACACCAAGCATAAAACTGACTCTACCTCAAGGTCCTTGGAGGAGCTGAGGGCTATTAGGTAACAACTCAAATGTTTTCTTCCAGATTGTGTGGTCTCGTTGTCTTTTCTTTAAAAAAGCAAATAAGATAGATGTATTTTTAGCTAGAATATCATACTCACAGGTTAATCATAAAACAATCACTGCTGTGTGGGCTGTTCATGGGCAATTGGTGTCTTTACTGGAAGCCCCCTGTTGTGTTTTTGAGACTTTTATTAATCCATTCATAGTCATACCCCGGGATGTCCTTGAGATGTTTTTTTTCTTTTAAATCCCTGACTCTTTCATCTATATTTATTGTGGATGTGTGGATGGGTAGACATTTTTTCACCTGAGATAACGCAGCCATTTCTGTTTTGAAAGTGAATAAAGTTTATGGAGACACTTTAGCTCCCTATTTGGCCATGAAAGGTGACTCCCTTTCTCCAGAGATGACATTAGCAAACACTATCTTACTACAAGGGAGGGACGAGATTCTACTTTAGTGGGTAATTACAGACCAATACCCCTAATAAACGCAGACACTAAAATCTTAGTGAAGGTACTGGCGGCCAGATTAAACACCTTATTGATGAGGTTGTTCAACTGTGACCAGGTCAGATTTATCCCCCAAAGACAATTTAATCAGCATACTAGGAGTGTTGTGTATTTGGCTTGGCAGGTGGGTGCTATGTGGACACCTTCTATGCTCCTTTCTTTGTATGCAGAGAAGTTGCTTGACAGGGTGGATGGGCCATATCTGTTTTAATGATTGGATTTTTTGGGTTTCTCTAACCAATTTTTGAGTGCCATTAAAACTTTGTATGTTGGCCCAAAGGCATTGTTTACACTTTTGCTGTGTCTTCTTTCTATATTATTGACCATTACTGAACCCATGTATTCCCTGACTCCATTATTTCAGCTAATTATTATTATTTTAGGTCTTTATTGGGCTATAAAGTTAATGTTGACAAATTCAGAACCATACCCATGAATTTGTCAATCGCTCACACAGGACTAGTTTGGTCAGTCTTTAAGATGCAGATTAAATTATCTATTAAGTGTTTAGGAAAACTGGCTACCGACGGTCCCCAAGGCCAGTTTTGTGGACAACTAATCACCGATGTTGCATACCATAAAAGAGATGTGCAGCTGTCAGAGGAGAGACCTATCTCCTAGATAGGATGCATTGCATTACAGTGAATGTTTTCCCAACGTTATTGTTTCACTCTAAGGATATTCCAGTTCTTGTCACAAAAAAAATAAATCTAGAAGGCACAATGAAGCCTATAGATGTGTTCATATGGTATATAAAGCAACATCGGTTAGTGAGACATGTGTGACTTTGCACAACAAGCAGCAGTGAGGAATGCTGCTGGGTTGACTCTGCTTTTCTTTGAAGATCTTTGTTTTCATGGTCTTTACCACAAAGGTCTTATTTCACATACTTAAAACTATATTTGTTCACATCCCACAATCTGGAGACACAATCTGTTATGTCAAGGGGTGGGAACAGGACCAGGTGTCAGGATTACAAGTTGATCCAGCACGCAGTACTGTGTCACACCTAGGGACTAAGAATATCGTATAACCGGACCTTAGGCTGGCTGGACTTAACGTATCCAAGAATAGTCAAAATACTTGCCGAGGTCAGGGACACAGAATCAGACACAACGATGAGGGAAAGCCAAAAGTCAAGCATACCAGATATCAGGGAAGTCAAAACAAAGCCAAAGTCAAATACCAGAGAATCAAGATCAGGAAAGCACTCTCAGATAACCATAGGCATGAAACCACGACAGGGCAATGAGCAAAAGGAGAATTGTGTTTAAATACCCCTCCTGTGGATCCGATTGGCTGTAACCGGCCTTTGACCCCAAAGGCAATTACCAGGTTTCCATGTGCATGATTGCTGCTCAGCACAAACCCTCTTGTGGATTTCATTGGCCATGACCGGTCTTTGACCCCAAAAGTAATTACCAGGTTTCCATGTGCATGATTGCTGCTCGGCACAACTTTTTCTGACAGGACGGTAATGTTGCTCGGCACACCTTTTCCTGTCAGGACAGTAAATGCCATTAACCACATTTTTATGTGTAGATGAATAAGTGACACCAGGGTAGGTGCAGGATAGTGACATGTGGGATGACATTTGGGAGGCAGTCACCAGGGTTTCCTTTTGTATAACATCCGAGGAACAAATAAAAAAAATTCATTTAGGAGGTATACAACCTATGTACACCTGTTTCATATGGGAAAGATTCCAGCTGATTGCTGGTGACTACTCGGCCATCGTGGTAGATACCTCTACATGTGATGATGTTGTGGTCTTGTCCTGTGGTAGTTCCATTTTGTAAGTGAATGAGAGATCCTTTGGCAGCTATTTTTAAGAGAGCTTTTGAGTTAAATCCCTGGCTATTCTGTCTCATTTCATAGAGCGCAGAAACTATTTAATAAAATCACTCTGGCTGCTAGAAGGGCATTGGCTGCATCTTAACTGGCGACCTCCTTCTACCCTGGAGGTCGGGGCCAACATTGATGACAATCAGTTAACTGATCAATTGACAGCTACTGTGTAATTACTTTATTCTCTCCTTTTATAGTTTGGAGTATTTGGCAGGATTGGATGTCTCCATCCTAGCTTTAGGTAATTTACCCATAATGTTTAAGTTTCATAATGGTGATACCTTCCCCCTCCTAATCCTTACCCTTGTCTTTCCCCTTTTCACTATAAATTCATATAGTTAAATTCACATATTATGCATTTGCAATCAAGAAAAAACAAGTGAATACATTTTGAGATAATTTTGTTTAGATGCACAAGTTGTGTAAAAGCAAAAATGGTTGCTTCCGTTTGGTACACTAGAAGTAAAGTGGAACTAACAGTGTGTGTCTGTCAGTGAGTGTCTGTCTGTGTCTGTGAGTGTGTCTGTGAGTGTGTCTGTGTCTGTCAGTGAGTGTGTGTCTGTCAGTGAATGTGTCTGTCTGTCTGTCTGTCTGTCTGTGAGTGTGTGTGTGTGTCTGTCAGTGTGTGTGTCTGTCAGTGTGTGTGTGTGTGTCTGTGTGTGTCTGTCAGTGTGTGTGTCAGTGAGTGTGTGTCTGTGAGTGTGTCTGTCTGTAAGTGTGTCTGTCTGACTGTGTCTGTGTTTGTGACTATCTGTGAGAGTGTCTGTGAGTGTGTGTGTCTGTGTGTGTGTGTCTGTCAGATAGTGTGTGTGTCTGTTAGTGAGTGTGTGTCTGTCACTGTGTTTGTGTAGGTCAGTGTTGCATTGGCTGTGACTGGACAGTGGAGTACCTAAAGGTGCATGGAGGCATGCAACGCCACGTCACATTCCGACGTGATATCAACGTGCTCCAACTTCACAGGGTTTAAAGAAGTAGCGGGAGGATCAAATTTGTCACAGTGTGTGGACGGCGCAATTTGGGGTATACTAGAGGCCGGAGTCGCATACTGTCAGCGGCAATGTGAGTGGAGTCTGCTTGTTGGCTAGAGTGGGTGCTGGGATTTAGTAGAGTGGGAGGACTGGGATTTAGTATATAGGGGAGACTGCGATTTAGTAGAGGGGGGACTGGGATTTAGTATATAGGGGTGCTGTGGATTAGTAGAGGGGGATGCTGTTTTTTTTTTAATATTGTAATTTTCAAAATAAACCTATATGGGGGTGGAGCCTAGCATCCAGACAGAGCAGTTGTGCTGAACCTCAGCTCCCGCTACACTCAGCACTTTTCGGGGATAATCCCCCCAAAAACCAGTCACACACTGGACAGATACTAGCATGAAGGGGACACCCGGGGGTATCACCCGATACTGAACTCAAGTCTGTAAACCCCCGAGACCCAAAAAAATGCCCTGAGGCCTACCGGAGATCGGGCAGCGGGGAGACGGCCGCTCCCCAGGCTGACTGACCTGGACAAGGATTCATCGAGAGGGTCATCTCTTTCACCTCCCCCCCTCTGGACCGATGGGGGACATCTCGGTCCAAACCAATCAACTGGAATAGCAACAACAAGCAAACCATATCAATCAATAAACTACAACGCCAAGGCAGCCAAACACATGGGGTACCCAAAATGGCGGTGGCAAGCATACCACACAAATGCTTACCTGAGATGGAGGATCACAGCGACATCCAACAGCGCATAGATACAGCTTTTGACCGATTCTGGCACAGGCTGGGACAAAGGCTACAAGCACCGATGGCAAACAAGCAACCCCAGCCAGCTGCGAGCGGACTGAACCGAACCCACGGAGTGCGGAGAATGGCACCACCGCAAGGGCAGCCAGGCCACAAGACTGGAGCGGGGAATGCAGGGAAAAGGCACCCCACTCCGGGCACAGCAACTACCCCCAAGACAACAGTGCAAGTAAGCAGCCCACCCAGGCTGGGTGTCAGGAGGAAACTGCCTCCACAGCATCAACCACCCTGCAGGAGGAATGCCTGCCCCCGACACCCCTGCCTTTCCACTCCCGATGACAACTTGCCGCGAACCGGCATGGGCTGAGCGGGACTGATATACAGACACACAGTACTGTTTAACTCTCTCCCCACACCTTCATTATCTCTTTATGTCTTACCTGTGCCAGATGATGTGCTATGCTTTTAATTGCTACATTTTAATTGTTACCTTTATCGCAGCCAATGCTATAACGGCACTGTATTCCATTGGCATGTTGCATTAATAGAAGGGCAGCCTACCTTAAGTTTAACATGTGGGACCAATATTAGCCATGCAACCATTCCCATAGCCCAGGCAGCTTTGTTGGCCCTGCTAGTTTAATATAACTCAATATGAGATGTAACCATTACCGAAAGCATGGTTTCATAACCTATCTTGTTGTTAGAGCTGCATGTCTAGGACCTAGCTTTATACAATCAAAATGGACTCCCATAAATGCCACCTGACATGTGGGACAAATCTTGCACTGTTTGCTAGTTTATCAAAAGGACAGGACACTTTAGTGCCCTGTACCAGTTATGCAATGTATAGATCCTTTGAACAAAATTATGCTGCCTCCGTTTCACATGCCCTAGATTGGATAAGCAAACCAAAGACTAGACTAAATGCTTAATACAGACATAGGATGCGCTATGTCGTCAGGATATTGTTTGACCTGCTCAGCTAATATAGGGACACACTCTAACTGTTAAGAATCACTTCTTAGGAGTGTATTACTAACCATCTTGTTATCATTAACTTGTGTTACCCCACAACGCCTCCTTTTTCTATTCTGTACCCCATAAAGCATATGCCATAATAAAAGAAAGATTTACAAAAAAATAAAATAAACCTACGTTTCTATGAAAATGTTATATATTTTTTTGCGGCCCACATAAACTTAAACCTTTTTATGTGGCCCATGCTAGACTTTGAGTTTGACATGCTTGGTCTACATAACTGAGGGGTTAAATATTTGTGTGCATTCATGTGTGCGTCTATGCGTGATTTCGTGTGTTAGCACATAGAATGTAAACTACATATGTAATTTTGTTCTTTGCCTTTAGTTAATAAAGAAATTCAGCTTTTGAAACTTTAGAAATTGTTATTTTGTTTTGATTAGTTCAATATACTTTCATAAGAACTTCAAAATGAGCAAGGATAGCTAAAAACTCTTTAGCGCCCTTTGATAAATCTAGAACACAATATTATGCCTGGATTATCCTGTAGTGATTTCTTCTTCCTTGTATTCATCCCTGCATGATCTTTTTGCACCAGTACCCAATTGCCTAAATAATGGAATAACTGCAGCATAAAACACAGCCTTATTTACCCTTTAAAAAGCTATGTGCTACAGGCTGTTCTAGCAGAGCTACAATAATATCACTATAGAAGACAACGACACACTTTTCAGAAGAACTCCTTTTAATGACTGTACCATAAAGAATTAAACCTAACAAGCAAATCCATGTAATTGGGAGAGTGGGAAAACAAGTAGTGCCACTTAAACTGATGGTGTATTAAAGAGCAATCTGTAAAATCGCTTTATAAACAAATAAGAAAAAGCCAAAACCAAGTGTAAAACAGTTATAGCAGTTAAAATTAGAACAGCACAAGTTAGGACACTTGAACATCTGGTTCATCTGACACATATAAAGTAGGAAAGTTTCCTAAACTATTTGACGTTTTGTGGGTATTATTGCATAATAATACTAATACTTCAATACAAATCTATTTAGATAGAAGTGTGTGATAATATGTTCATAATGACTAGCTCAATGTCATCTTAGCCTTTTGACAACATATGTAAAATAGCCATCTTGTCTCTCTTTAGCCCTTTGTATCTCATTTCTTTTCAAAGTTGAAATTAATGGAAAGTGAGCCATAAACTCTGAGGAGTCTTGATTGTAAGCCAGAAAGTAATGTTTGAGACTTGCTGCAAAAACCATATTGCAGAATAAGATTACCACAATTGGACAGAACAGCAGCAACCTGCTGAGTAATCTCGCTCTCCATTGGATAGTTTGAGTAATGATGGGCCCTAGGCATTAGTTTTGGTAGTGTGTAGTTGAGATCCTTGCTTAAGCCTTGTAACCAACCCTGGTGATATTGGAGTTACAGTGCTAGATGGATATTCAGTGGTAAGTCATTACAGTGGATAGGGGAGACCAGCATCTACTGGTCACAACAAATCACATTATATTCAGTACAATTTGTATTTGTGGGATCCTCAAAACTAGGAATTAATATATATTTATTTTGTCATAGGTGTCATTGGCTTTACGTTCAAAATGGGATTCACAACTCTTGGCTCACCTCTATTGTTATGGACCCCAGTGATATAGCAATATAGGTTTCAGAAAATTTTTAAACTGTATTTGTTATTTTGTTGCAAACAACACCAGCACAAGAGAAATATAATGAAAACATGTTGGCAGTGGCTAGAAAACAAAACAGTTTAGTTGTATTTGCAGTACAGGGTTTTTTGCTGTGTTATTCTCAAGACAAACCTCAAATTAAAGCATTCCTTTGAACACTGCACATGATGTTCTGTCATGTGAATATGATGTTAAGAAAGTTCACTTTTCAGTTTCAAGAAAGAACATTAACCATAAATGGCATAGTTCTTTATAATGCAAGGCAATTACCAAAAGTGAAGAACCTAGTGGACTTATTATTTTTATTTTATTAAAAAGCATATGACAAAACTAGGGGCATTAGAAAACATAATAACATAATGTCACATGATTGTTATGACAATTAACATCAAAAGTTAGAATTGATCAAAGCTTAAAATGAGCAACTTTTTTAGAGATCATAAGTATTTAGACTATTAAATTATTGTAATTGTGTACACATGTATTACAACTAAACCACCATTCATTTAATTATATGTTATAAAAATAACAATAATAATAATAATAACAACAATAATAGTCAAGGGTGTTGCTTAGTGGCAATTGACAAGGGGTTTCAGCCCAATAGTGCATTATATAGCCCCTTCCTGAAATAATGATTTGTACCCAGCCCCAAAGTATGCCATACCTTGCACTATGTCCATTCATAAACCCAAACATGTTTCATAACTCAGATTATGACACCAAATGTTTGAATGAATTCTGAGTATTATATACAACTGTACTGATAAACTCCACACCTGCAGCATTATCCCTATGCCATGCTGTATTAAACCACACTATACTGTATTAATTCCACACTTGCTGTAATAACTGCACACCATGCTGAACTAACCCTGCATCCCAAGAATTAATACAAAATTATCACAACATTAAAACCTTGCGCTCGCAGCAGTACTGTCACACTGAACAAAATTATAAACGCCACACTTTGTTTTTGCCCCCATTTTTCATGAGGTGAACTCAAAAATCTAAGATTTTTTTTCTATGTACACAAAAGGCCTATTTCCCTCAAATATTGCTCACAAATCTGTCTAAATCTGTGTTAGTGAGCACTTCTCTTCCATCCACCTCACTGGTGTGGCATATCAAGATGCTGATTAGACAGCATGATTATTGCACAGGTGTGCCTTAGGCTGGCCACAATAAAAGGCCACTCTAAAATGTGCAGTTTTACTGTATTGAGGAAGACCAGGGGGGGCTGACACCAGTCAGTATTAATGGCTGTGCGAAGTTGCTGGATATTGGCAGGACCTGGAACACGCTGTTGTATTTGCCGATCCAGAGCATCCTAAACATGCTCAATGGGTGACAGATCCTTGCAACATGGGGCTGTGCATTATCATGCTGCAACTTGTGGATCGAGTGGTCCGTGGTGGTGGGGTTATAGTTTGGGCAGGCGTATGTTATGGACAACAAAAACAAAAGTGTTGCGTTTATAATTTTGTCCAGTGTAGTTACATAGCTGCACAGATGAAAGAGACATGTGTCCATCAAGTTTAGCCTTTCTCACATCTCTATTTGCTGTTGATTCAAAAGAAAGCAAAAAGACCCCAAAAAAACAGTTTGAAGCACTTCCAATTTGCAACAAACTAGGAAACAATTCTTTCAGGACCCCAGAATGGCAGTCAGATACCTCCTTGAATCAAGAAGGTGCACAAAATCGCACAGCATATTCAATGTGTGGTATTCCCAGTGATTTATGAAGAGGTAAAATTATATTTTCATCCAGAGAATGAATGCCTCTATTTACACATTACATTGCTTACTGGCCTTAGCAAATCTTGATTGACATTGCACATTGTTGCTTAGTTTTTTGTCTATTACATTTCCCAAATCTTTCTCGTATCTTGTTATCCCTAATTTACTACCATTTAGGGTGTAAGCTGCTTGTGCACTCTTGAAGTGCATAACTTTGCTGTATAAGTAACTGCAAAAATGGTCCACTAAAGTGACACTGTCACAAATGATGTGATTGGAGGTGTTGTTTCTTTCTCAGTATTACAGAGGAGTCAGAGCTAAGAATAAAAGGATGCCAAAATTATACTTGGGACTTTGTGCTCCAGTTCTGATCAGCCCTCCCTAGCAACATCCCTCATAATAAATAATGTCATTTTCGTAATATGCTACACGTGTATATTATTATGTACAAAATGCAGCTGCAACACAAAACTTGTATAGACTGGGTACCTGACCTAAACTGACAACATTATTTTATACCCACACAGTGTTCATTTTCCTAAAGAGTTCTGAGAGATGGGACTTTGATAATTTTGTTTCTATGGTAGAATTTTATTCATGTTGTTATTCCCTAACTAACTATACATTCATTTTATTTTTAGTTTAATAAAATTCATTAAAGTCAAATCTACAAAACATAGGAAGAGTATGGAGAAACATTATAAGGGTTATTCACTAAAGTGAGAATTGTCTGGTATTCAATGGGAATTCTAGTAAAATTTCAAAATGTAGACTAAGCAGCCAAATTGGATGCATAGTTTACTTGAAGAATTATCAAATGCAGCTATTTTGACCTTAAATTTGAAATTCATTTTGAATTCACTGTGAGTTACCAACAAATCTCACTTTAGTACATTTCCCTGTATATATTGTAAAAGCTTGATGCAAAATATATTTAGAAACAATAGAAATCCACCCACATACATAGTATGAACTCATTAGAAACTCACTATAAATTTATACAACGTTTGTATCTAATTCCTATGAGATTACATAAAATGAATCCGATAATTTCTCCACTTGGTTGAAGTTCGTGGCGAACCGCTGCAAACCGTTCACGGCAAGTTCGTGAACGGTTCGCGACATCACTATCTATAAATGGGCAATCACAGCATACATTATCGGGAAGTAATATGTAGATTGTAGAAGTGACCTGAAGAGCATGATTGCCATAAAGTATGTATATTTACCTATAATGGTTAAGCATGGAGCTACCTATGGCAGCCATATAGGATATAGATAAGGTTAGATCAGAGCCCAAGTGCCATTAAGATACTTTGCAAACCTTAGTGTTGGAGGAGGACAACCTTATAACCTTCCTTTGGCCCTATGAGAACTTCATCATTTGCATGTTTGAAATGTTTCAATATATAGGGTGCACCAACAATCCACCACCAGCAGAGGAAACTCCAAATCCAAGTGGAACAAGGACTTTTCAAGTATTTGATTATTTGTTTATATGTATTTGTAAATAGAAATAAAAAAATAAAAAATAAAACTTATTTAGAAAAATTCTGATTTGATTCAATTAGCGGCAGCTTTCACCAAATAAGGTACTGGTGCAACAACCCCTGACCAGTTTCAGGTGACAATTTGTTAAACAAAAAAACTCCCCATTCTTTACTTTCCTCCTCCTCCCTTTTTTTTTCTTCTGCAAAAACTTGTCTATTTCATCTCATTCTTGCCCGCCTTTCTTCCTTCTTATCTTCACTTACAGTTGCAAGAAAAAGTATGTGAACCCTTTGGAATGATATGGATTTCTGCACAAATTGGTCATAAAATGTGATCTGATCATCATCTAAGTCACAACAATAGACAATCACAGTCTCCTAAACTAATAACACACAAAGAATGAAATGTTGCCATGCTTTTATTGAACACACCATGTAAAAATTCACAGTGCAGGTGGAAAAAGTATGTGAACCCTTGGATTTAATAACTGGTTGAACCTCCTTTGGCAGCAATAACTTCAACCAAACGTTTCCTGTAGTTGCAGATCAGACGTGCACAACGGTCAGGAGTAATTCTTGACCATTCCTCTTTACAGAACTGTTTCAGTTCAGCAATATTCTTGGGATGTCTGGTGTGAATCGCTTTCTTGAGGTCATGCCACAGCATCTCAATCGGGTTGAGGTCAGGACTCTGACTGGGCCACTTCAGAAGGCGTATTTTCTTCTGTTGTTGATTTACTTCTATGCTTTGGGTCATTGTCCTGTTGCAACACCCACCTTCTGTTGAGCTTCAGCTGGTAGACAGATGGCCTTAAGTTCTCCTGCAAAATGTCTTGATAAACCTGGGAATTCATTTTTCCTTCGATGATAGCAATCCGTCCAGGCCCTGATGCAGCAAAGCAGCCCCAAACCATGATGCCCCCACCACCATACTTCACAGTTGGGATGAGGTTTTGATGTTGGTGTGCTGTGCCTTTTTTGCCACACATAGTGTTGTGTGTTTCTTCCAAACAACTCAACGTTGGTTTCATCTATCCACAGAATATTTTGCCAGTACTGCTGTGGAACATCCAGGTGCTCTTGTGCAAACTGTAAACTGCAAACTGTAAACGTGCAGCAATGTTTTGTTTGGACAGCAGTGGCTTCCTCTGTGGTATCCTCCCATGAAATCCATTCTTGTTTAGTGTTTTACATATTGTAGATTTTTGTAAGTCTTTAGCTGACATTTTAGGATTCTTTTTCACCTCATTGAGCAGTCTGTGCTGTGCTCTTGCAGTCATCTTTACAGGACGGCCACTCCTAGGGAGAGTAGCAGCAATGCTGAACTTTCTCCATTTATAGACAATTTGTCTTACCGTGGACTGATGAACAGCAAGGCTTTTGGAGATACTTTTATAACCCTTTCCAGCTTTATGCAAGTCAACAATTCTTAATCGTAGGTCTTCTGAGAGCTCTTTTGTGTGAGGCATCATTCACATCAGGCAATGCTTCTTGTGAAAAGCAAACCCAGAACTGGTGTGTGTTTTTTTATAGGGCAGTGCAGCTGTAACCAACACCTCCAATCTCATCTCATTGATTGGACTCCAGTTGGCTGACATCTCACTCCAATTAGCTCCATTAGTCTAGCTCTTTTTCCACCTGCACTGTGAATGTTTACATGGTGTGTTCAATAAAAACATGGCAACATTTCATTCTTTGTGTGTTATTAGTTTAAGCAGAATGTGATTGTCTATTGTTGTGACTTAGATGATGATCAGATCACATTTTATGACCAATTTGTGCAGAAATCCATATCATTCCAAAGGGTTCACATACTTTTTCTTGCCACTGTATTTGTGGATATTGCTATTCTGATATATTAGATGTGCTTTGTTCAAAATCAAAGTGGCCCGTCATACAGTAGTTCTTTCTGTTCAATGTATCAAGATTTGGTGATTGCATGTATATTTTTAATAATCTGGGATTATTGTTATGAATCAGTAATTGGACTCTATTTTAGTTCTTTCAACCAATATGTCATCTTCTCTGTCATTGATATTCATTGATAGTATTCTACAAACTCACTAAATAAAGATTTAAAAAACAACAACAAACAACTGCAGCAACAATTAGCCACTTATTATACATACCTCTAAAAAACATAAAACAAAAGGAATGAGGATGCAGCCCTGTCTGCCATACAGGGTGGAAGAACCCTGTTAGACTGGGCCAAGAGTTTGCCCAATGACAACTTCCACCACCTTTATAACAACATCTGCTTATCCAATTTTGACTAGGATCGACCTAGGGACCTTTTAATTCTATTTACCTGCAGGTAGCTGCTGGTTGAGCTAAAGTCTAATATTATTGGTGTCCTACTGAGACATGATGGGTGGGATAGGCAGCTGCACACCATCTGCTTGTGAGGATACCAAATGCTGTATTAGCCAATGGAGGATATCCTGGCCTTGAGTCCTTGAGTGCTAGCTAATACCCATGGTCAACACATACCACCCACACTGCAACATTCACAGACGCCTAACACAACAACCATTGCTTAAATAGTGGCTGAGGTACCAGTAGTGGACTTGTTGGAGGTGCAGAACTGAAAATTTAAAAAAAATGCTAAGGTATATTATGTGAATAAACAGTGACTTAATTCAGTCTCTGGCAGGGAATGCTTTGAAGTCAGAAAAATCTCTGGTGCCATCCAAGACCTAACAACACTGTGCAAGTCAAATTCTTCTTCTTCTTCAGAGAACTCCACAGTGTTCACTATGACATTCCTATTAAATGGATATAATGACATGCTCATCCAGTATCTTATCACTTATTAAAGTTAAAGTTGGTTGGCTTGTAGCTGCTCACCAGTTACCCTGCCCAAAATATAGGGCAGAAATGCCATTTTGCTTTCATTGGAATTTTAGCTGTCCAGTCTTGAATTAGCTACAAAAGTCTATACTATGGCTACACATACATCTGTAGTGTAAGAGCTTATTTTCCTTTGTTCTCAATCACCTCCAATAAACTTCTAGCATTCATATTTAGTTTGTTAGCTGAAAAGCCCTGCCACACAAAATTCTAGCAATATTAAAAAAAAGAAATAGCAACTTTTGGTATAGTTTTTGAACAAGTGCCCTACCCTACCCCTTATGGTGTTGTAGTTTTAGTGGGTGCCGTAGAAGCTGAGACCACCTGGTATCCTGTACGTCTGCTCTTGAATTAGTAGTATAATATAACTGTGCCTATGTGGCTGTCCGTGAAAGATTATTTTGTTTTTTATACTATAACTTTTGCAATAAAAATATTTTGTTTTACTGTATGTTAAAATCTTGACAAACTTGACCTATATTGATAATTATCTTGTTTAAACATTTTATATTAATTAACACAAATAAATTTTTTATATTGTCTCTTTTTTAACTTTATATCAATTTTTAGGGATTCTTTAGAAGAAGTCAACAAAATAATGCCTCTTATTCATGCCCACGGCAGAGAAACTGTTTAATTGACAGAACCAACAGAAACCGTTGCCAACATTGTAGACTGCAGAAGTGTCTTGCTTTAGGAATGTCGAGAGACGGTAAGTCAACTTTTTATAATACATTGAGAACGTAGTTTGAAAAATGATTCTTCAGCACCTTAACCACTCCAGATTGCTGCACATGCATCTTATCTGGGTTCATCATGGACCACTCTCCGTCTCCACTACTAACATCGAAGAGCTGGAAGATACTAAGCAGTAATTTCCATTAGCCCTCTTGAGCTAAGCCTTGCATGAAAGAGTGACAGCTATTTGGTTACAGCCTATGAGCTAAGCTTAGGAACTTCCAGCTCTCCAGCATTACTAGAGAAGGCGAGGAGCAGTGTTCAGCAGACCTCAGGTGAAAAAAAACCCAAAACAGTTTGATTACTTCCAATATGGAGCACCAGGGCACTCCTGATGCTACAATCACTATAGTAAGCTACAGCGTTAATGATGCTTGGAGTGTTCCTTTAAAGTAAATCCAACATTGTAAAAGTTAGGCAAACAGGGTTATTCACTAAAGTGAGATTTCTAAGTGAACTTGAAATTTAAGGTCAAAATGGCTGAACCAGGTAAATGTTATGCTATGCCTTCCGTTCAGATGACTTTACATTTGAAATTCACGTTGAAGGCTCATTTTAGTAAATAACCCTGAAAATGACAGAACTTTGAAGGTGAATCTGGAACATATGTTTGACTAGCATGATAAAATGTTTAGATGTGTATGATTTATGATAAAATGCAGCTGTATTGCATTCTATACTATACTATATATCCATGTGCAGGACCTGACAGTTGGGACATGTTACATTCTGTATTAAGGAATCTTTGATGATCTGAGATAATAAAAATATGTGTCGCCTATTCATTAAATGGTTTACAGACAACTTTCGAAAGCTCTAACTTATTCATCTGTGCCTATTTTGCAATTCATTGACAATTTTCCTGAGTAGAACTCTGACTCCATAAATTATGCATATATTAGTGAGGGGGCTCTGGTCAGATGGCACTGCCATGTTCAGTTTTGTCTGGATTTGATGCTTTTTATAAATGAGCTGATATGACTTGCACAGCTTCCTAAACACCACCTGTAAAGAGTCGTCTAATGTTTACACTTCCTTTATTGCAAATTCTGTTTAATTTAGAATTTCTTATCTCCTGCTAAGTTGATAGCATGCCAGACTTTGCAAGAGCCTTATGTATGTAGTTAAAGTTCACTACACAGAGCAGGAGATAAAAACGTTTAAAGTAAGTTACATCTGATTGAAAATGAAACCATTTTTTCCATGCAGGCTGTGTGAGTCAGACAGGGGAGGTATGGCTATGGCTGAATTGATAGAAACAAAAGTGATTTAACACCTAAATGGTCAGAGAATTGAGCAGTATTACCTCAGAGACATGATATATACACCAATACTACTTTATTAAGCTAAAGTTGTATTGGTGACTATAGTGTCCCTTTAAGTTTTAAAGATTAGTGGCAGTTTTTAAACAGTAGTGACCCTTTAACACCAACCTCTGGCCTGGTGCAAAGAAGTTAACAACATCTCACTCCACATATATCCAATGGAAAAAAAATGCAATAAAAATAAAGAAAAGGCCATACACATAAGACATACAATTGTTCTTTATAAAAGTAAAGCGCACGTGTCTTTTAAATAAACAATTCACCTCCTACGTTACATAGATATTTATCACATCAAGCGTTACACTGATATGTAGATATATTGCTAAATCACAGTATAATGCATTGTATACACTATTGCTATCTCCTGCTAAGGACAATCACAGAGTGAAATATGTGTTTTTACAGGCAAGATGTAACTGCTGTGGTAACAGCTTACGCACCATGTGTTGCTGTGTTTTACCAGCAAGTGCTTAATCTGTGAGTGGTCATTATCTTTGTGAGCAAACATTATTGGCGGTCAGCCATTAAAACAGTGACAAGGTTGCAAAACAGTCAGTAATTAGTAACTGTTACTTACTACTGGCTGTTGTTGACTGCTTATGGCAGATATTTAGCGGCAAGTTTGGAAACAAGCACTAAATTGGGCATATGATCCTGAAAATATATGTATTGTAAGTAAACAAATTCTATTTACTGTGCAAAATGAATTTCCAGAAAGGTACCTGCTGAATTAATAAGAGGAGAATAGTTGTCAGTATTTATGGCTTGTAGACATTTCCAGTAAGAAAAAAATAATTTTCACAGTAGATATTAGACAAAGGGTATTGGGAATATGAACATAAATATATGAAAGTGTTTTTCATTTCGATAGACTTTTAACTAAAACCAAATGCTCTAGGTAGACCCTAAGGAAGAGACACTCTATAAAGTTCTGTGTCTATTGTGATGTCTGGTCTATTGATTGCATCAGATAACAGTTAGAATTTGGCAGCCTCACAATGGATGAGTTTAACAGACTCTTTAAAGCACTGAACTGTCTTCTCCTCTTTGTTGTGTTGAAACATCCCTTGTTCGGGCCAAAGAATTAACAGAACAATTAGTCTCTTCAACACAGACAAAACTGTCTCTGGGCTTTTCATGGCTGAAGCCTTCATAGCAATTTGTACAAACAGAAAAACAGTGGGGTACACAATATAAGTTAAATGGGTGTTTTATAGACTGCATAAAATAACAGACTTGTGTAATATTAATGGCACGGAGCTTTGCTTATCAACCACATGCATATGCAGGAGTTAATTTCCCAACAAAATCTTGAGATTGTTATTTATGTTCTGCCAATTTAGTTCATTTCCCTTTGATTCTCTTGCGTTTCTCATAATCCATCTAAAATAATAAGCGAGATGCATATTTCATCTAAAACGTGATTTATTTTGTCGTGGATAATTATAATCCTAATGAATGCCTAAGAAATCAGAAGAAGCATAAAGCTGCTGGCCGTTTAGAAGAGATCCCACAGAGTCTGTGTAGCAAGTTCATTATACGTAACCTGCAGTGTATCGAATAAACATGGTGCCATCTATGTGATGTGACACATTATAGCAATATATGTATTATTTCCAATAGAACCCAATCTCTATATTTTTATTAGTGCAAATAACCTCTCCCAAGTTTGAATGAACAATGTTAAAGAAGAGTCAGTCCAGTTTTACTAAGTTCCATTAAGCTATTTAATGTGACAGTAATCCTAATTAGAAGCAAGCCAGAGCTGCACAAACATCATTGAAAATTACATAGAAATGAAATATGAATCAGATCAGAGGTATAAATGCAGATTCCTCAGTTGTAACAATGACAAAGAGTTTAGCTTTTTCTACTTTATCCAAGCGGTTTTCTTTAAGTTCCTTTCTAAGATTTAACTATCATGCATTCTTTAGGATAGCAATATTTTAAAATCAGGCCCCAAGGATGCCAAAAATTATGCTGATTGGAAGGAGGTGATATGATTGTATTGGTATTTTCTTTAGAAAGTTTGGTTAATGGCACATTTAAAGTTTCACTACAAAGAGCTCTGCATTTTTACAGCAACACTTAAATAAATGTCCGATGTTAATGGCATGATTAAAAGGAGTAGCCATAGTTAGTGGAATTAGTGGAGGGGTGAGTTCAGACAGTACATAGATTGGATTTTAAAGAACCTACTACCCCCTTTGCTAACATTTGTATTTGTGACCGTGTTGGTTTGGGGGTAAACATGCATTCTGCAGTGATCTATTTGTGTCACAAGGTTTGTAGATACCCTTTTCCGATGCTGTAAACCACCATTGAGAGCATTCCAATGTCTCTCACTCAATCCACATGCAATCTTGAAGGAAATAGGTCACTCTAAATCTATTTTTGTAATATGCAAAGAGGATCATGCTACCTGAATTCAGGACTTTTGTTTTGTTTTTTTAACCATTTCAAAAAATTGCAAAGTTATGTTTCATAATCTACAAGTAAAGTGTTACCAAAAGACCTACTGCTGTGAGCAATTTTGTTACATAATCATATGAGGGAATTCAAAATTAGAGAATAGGTCAATGCTTATAACTATGTTCTTGAACTGTTTGTGTCATAGTATTGGATGTTAGAGTGATTTTATTTATTTAGAGTGATTTGTAAAACTCTTGTGCTGTTTGTTTCTTTACCAGCCGTGAAATTTGGCAGAATGTCAAAAAAACAGAGAGACAGTCTATATGCGGAGGTCCAAAAACACCAGCAAAGACTTCAAGAACAAAGACAACAGCAAAGCGGAGAGGCAGAGGCCTTAGCCAGGGTATATAGCAGTAACATCAGCAATGGTTTAAGTAATCTCAACAACGAGACAGGAGGCACTTATTCAAATGGACATGTCATTGACCTGCCTAAATCTGAGGGTTATTACAGTGTGGATTCTGCACAGCCCTCCCCGGATCAGTCTGGTATAGACATAACTGGAATGAAACAAATAAAACAAGAACCTATTTATGACCTTACGTCAATACCAAACATATTTATGTATAGTTCTTTCAACAATGGACAGCTCGCTCCAGGAATAAGCATAACTGATATAGGTAAGTAACATTATCACGCTAAGCATAATATAATCATGGATTTATGAGAGTACGGTGCTCATCAAAGCGCTTAACATTTCCAGTCATTATATTGCACTGTATTGTGTTTATTTTTTTGTAAATTTCACATTTGATTTTGTAGTTAAGGGCATTCCACCCTCTTTCCAAGTTCAATTTAGTTTAAGAGAATGTGTTGTCATTTATTTAGAGGTTGAGCTCAGAGAAACCTCACTCAATCAAACCAAAGGACAATAATTTAATATATGCAAAGGTGTGTTAATCAGTGTTACAACACAATTGCTCTGTTATATACCAGCATTCACTTTTTAAAATGTTTTATCCATTGCATTCTTCAAGTGTAGACATGCAGACATAATGTCTGCCAAGTTGGCAGAATTAGCTCCTGATCCTTTACCTGGTTCTAGGCAACTCGATGTGATTCAACAGGTGTAAATAGAACCTTATTCAATACCTCTTCTGCTGCAAATTAGTGTGCATTCTGCTCCCTGCTCTTTTATTTTAATCAATAAACATGAGCTGGCTGATAACTCGTTCAATGTCTACACACTGTGAAGAACTGAACAGGCTGTCTCTTTAGCACAGAAAGACAGAAACAACAAGTGTTTGGGACAAAAGTAAACTAATATACAGTTTCATGGATTTTATTTCAATAGTTTTTTTGTATGTATAATTTGCAGTGAAGTAACAGATGATTATATCAAATAAAACACAGACTACAAAAGGGCACTTAGAGGGAGATATAGGTAAAATTATAAAACTGCTGGAAAATCCTAATATGCATATCTCAGAGGGATGAAAACATGGGGAAGTCTATCGGGGAAGCAAAGTAGTGTCGTGATTTACTTCCTACATCCTTATAAAGGACAGACATGTGGACATGATGTGTGGCCCACACGGATATTGTATATAACACTGTAAACACTGAAATTGGTTGTTGTCATGATTTTATTTAAACAGAGTGATTAATAAAACACTACTGCTGTCTGTATGTTTATAAGCTGTGAAAGTAAAAAACAAAACAAAAAAAACAGAGACAGTCTATATGTGGAGGTCCAAAAGAAGCATGGAACCTGCTATGCTTTTAGAGAGCTCAGCACCCCTGGTTTACTGCTAGATTACCTGAAAAAAAATGTAATGAGAGGTATTAGGCTTCTGCAATTAGAATTTTGGCAGATTCACTGCAAGTGGTAGAATTGGCACAATACAAAATCTAAATAAAAATTTATAGTTCTATAACATGTAAATTGATTTGTTTCAGATTCATTAGTTTTTATAAGGATAGCAACTTAGAGAGTTAGTTCTTAAATAGCTGAAATTAAAAAAAACAAATGAAAAATTTCGATCTTTCAGCTGTTTAGTAAATAGCTTTCTAATTTGATATTCTTAAATATGGCAATCCCACAAAAGGAAAGCAATAATAAGCCGATAAAATAAATAAAACAATAAATTAGCCAACAAAAACTAAAAATTATTAAGACGTATGATCTTATATAATATTTTACAGCATAAGTAGAGTTAAAGCCAGTTGGGCTTGTTTTTGTCATCTGTAAATAAAATCCACTTAACCCTGTCCGCTACTGTCTTCTGAATGCAAGTCTTCTGGGAGGCTATTATAATAACATGTACTTTTAGCTATTAATCATTCCAAGATAATCAGGGTTTCTTCAATTTAAAAAATAAAAAATAAATTTTACTAAACATTGTAGTAGCAAACACAATAAGAAAGTATAACACAATAAATAGATAAAGAAGGCAAAATATGGTATTCAATATATGGCAATAATGACTAGAAACATAGTCCAGTCTGGTTAACACTGAACAGAACAATCATGTTTCAGGATAAAGAATATGTAAAATACTTTTTCCTTGAAATAGTTGTTGTTATTGCTATAAAACATTTATATTACTGTGGTTATTCACACAAATCCAAATCTAATCTAGCCTACAAAAGAAAACTATTCTGGAACAATCTGGAGGCATTCAGAGGCAATAATATGGATGTCATTTATCAATGTCCAAATATAGCTAAAAAGCTCTGCATTCTGCATTGATGTTAATGTACACCAGATTGTAGACTCTCAAGTAAAAACCTGACATTTGCAATCATAAAATGTAAGTAAACAAGTGAAATCAGGTTAATCTAAATTTACTGGTGGTCAGTAGAAGCAAAAGGTTGAAAAAATGGGCCAGTGTACTGCATATTAAAAATATGATGTGTATATTTTCTAGCAAAGTGATAGGCACATATTCACACCATTTGGTTCTCAGGTCAAGTGAGAAAAATTAACCAATAGAGGGGAAACACAGGAGTAGTAAAAAAAAAATGATAATAACTACCATACTGCCAAAAGAAAATCCTTGCACTCCTGCTTAGAAATATTGCTTGTTTTGTTTAGCATGTGCCTGTCTGTGGCTTGCAATATACAATATATGTAAAGGTAGTTGCAGTAACTGTCTTCTTCCTCAGGACCATTAAAAAAACAATAAAACAAAGAAACTATTTATAGGTAAGAAACTAATTGAATCTAAATAACCCCAGGTGCAGGAGTGTTCGTGTCGGCACACTCCCATGCTGCGTGTACGTGTGTGAGCGTGCTCCGCCTCCAATGTGTTGACATCACATGCACATGTTACTGTAAAAACCAAGTGTGTTATGAAAGCAAGTGAAAACAAAAAGTATTCTAGAGTATTTGAAATAATCCAATTAACACTTAACCTAACATCAATGTGCACTTGTATTCACTATTAATTATTTAACGACCGATCTGAACGTAAGATAAAGGCATATTATAATAACAAAAAGGGGAACTATTAACTGCATGTTGAGAGTCCTTGCTAAGAGACAAACATTGTTAAAGGACAGTATACTAAAATATTAAAGTGCATGTAAAGTGCTGAGTAAGGAATAAATGTATAAAAATAATACAAGTATTAGACTCACATTTATATTTTTTGGCAAGGTAAACATGTGACATAATGGGCAGTGCTTAAAGTTAATTAGCGTTAAGTGCTATTAATTATCACACCATACAGAAATATAGAACATGATATGTTGAAATAAGGTGCAAAATTTAAGTTGCTAATAACTAGTGCTACATGGTTAAAGTACTGAAGTAATAATGTAGCTAATGACCAAATTTAGTGTGTCAAAAGAAAATTGTAAAATTATCTATTGCATGTAAAAATGCCCAATTGTCCTGTAGGGAAACTATTTAAAACAACTTTGTTCTAATAGAAGCTTATCTAAAAATACATAATGAAAAAAATACATGTTACAAAAGATGGGCCATAATGTCCAATCAATATTTTTTCAATCAATTAAATATAACGCTATGTATTGCAAAAAATGTTTTATAGTATTGACATAGTACTATTCTATCTATTAAATAAACAAACTAAAAATGTACAAATGAATGCTTCTAAAGACTAGACCACATACTGAGTGGGGCTATATTACAAAAAAATAACTATATGTTTGTTTCTTGTTCAATCCTTTTGGGGCCAATGTGTTAAGTTCAATGTTCAGAATGCTTCTTTATTTATTAACATTATTCCGTGGTCTCCACTGCACCTTGGTTCTGGAATATGGTCAATGTCAATACATTTCATTGCTGGGGTGTTTATTTTTCAGAAAGTGCTTGGCTACAGGATTACATGTAGAACCATCCCCGTACCCCATCCAAATACTGGAGCGATGTCCTCTTATACTCTCACATAAGGGTGTTTCACTCTTCCCTATGTATGACAATCCACAGGGGCACATTAGCTTGTAAATAACAGGGGTAGTTTTACACATTATGATTCCTTATTTGATTCATTTTATCTATATGAGGATGATTAAAAGATTAAAAGTATGTTCTGGTGTCACATGCTCACAGGTGATACAGCCTCGGCATCTGACACAACCATTGTTTTGTTGCAGTTTTTACTCAGGCGTATAGCCACGTCTATGCAGACCAAGAGATCTCACACATTTGTATTTCTTCTGTAACAAATTAATGGATGTTTTGTTTTTTTTTAAACTTTTGGTAATGTGTTATCATTGGCCATTTATTTTCAATTTGTAGTTTTGAAGTTATGATGTCAACTTTGGAGTGGCCAAGATGTAAGTTATAGGGAAGACCATTATGTGTGCAGTGTTTTCCATCATTTGGGTATTGGCACTTTTGGCTGCTTTTTAAGGATTTCTGTAAATCATGATATACACCCTGTTCCAAATTATAATGCAAATGATATTTTTCTAATTTACCTAAATAACTGATGTAAATAACAGTCAGCATAATTCTCATGTTATCAACTATTAAGAGTACAATTCAAATTTTATTGAACAAACCTCCTAATGATAACAGTATTTTTTTAAACATAAAAAACTTACAATGCACTGTTCCAAATTATTATGCACAGCAAGTTTCAAAACACTTTATAGGTTGTAAAGAACTGAAAATTGTCATTTGTTGTGTTTGCAGCATATTTACTGAAACCAAAAGCTATTTCAATCAAACTTATAACAACATTTTAACTTTTTAAACATTGTAACAGGTCACGTTACATTTTAACATAGGACCCCTTATTTGATAGCAGTTTCACAAGTCTGGCATCCATTGAACTTGTGAGTTTTTAGACAGTTTCTGCTTGAATTTGTTTGCAAGATGTCAGAATAGCCTCCCAGAGCTGCTGCTTGAATGTAAACTGCCTCCCACCCTCATAGATCTTTTGCTTGAGGATGCTCCAAAGGTTCTCAATAGGATTGAGGTCAGGGGAGGATGGAGGCCACACCATGACTTTCTCTCCTTTTATCCCCATAGCAGCCATTGATGCAGAGGTATTCTTTGCAGCATGAAATGGTGCATTGTCATGCATGAAGATGATTTTATTATGGAAAGCATAGTTCTTCCTTCTGTACCAGGGAAGAAAGTGGTCAGTCAGAAACTCCACATACTTTGCATAGGTCATTTTTACACCTTCGGGGACCCTAAAGGGGCCGACCAACTCTCTTCCCATGACTCCGGCCCAAAACATGACTCCACTACCGCCTTGCTGACGTTGCAGACTTGTTGGAACAGGGTGGCCGTCCACCAACCATCCACTACTCCATCCATCTGGACCATCCAGGGTTGCACGGCACTCATCAGTGAACAGGACTGTTTGAAAATTAGTCTTCATGTATTTTTCTTCATGCCGTTTCTGCTTGTGAGCATTGGTTAGTGGTGGCTGAATAGAAGGTTTATGCACAGTTGCAAGACTCTGGAGGACTCTACGCCTTAATGTCCGTGGGACTCCAGAGGAACCAGCAGCTTCAAATATCTGTTTGCTGCTATGTAATGGTATTTTAGCAGCTGCTCTCTTGATCCGATGCTTGGATCTGGCAGAAATCTTCCTTAATGTGCCTTCATCTGCACAAACCCGTCTGTTCTCTGAATCTGCCACAAATCTCTTAATAGTGTGATGATCACACTTAAGTTTTCATGAAATATCTAATGCTTTTATACCTCGTCCAAGGCATTGAACTATTTCACTCTTTTCAGGAGTGAGAAACTGTTGAAAAAAAATTAGTGCCACACAACACATCTTGTGATTTATGAACATGTAGCAGATAATGCTTTGTGAACTGGATGACCAAGTATCTGTCATACAAATAACCTCTGTGGAAACATGTCCCCAGGCCACGCAAGAAGTCACCATGCCCTGGTAAAGTGAGGTTGAATAAAGAGAGGCACATCTAAACCCTGCAAAGAAATTTAGAGAAAGCCAAAGATAGCCACCTTTGAATCATAGAAACTGATGCAGCTGTCCCTTGGTTTGATCCTTCTGGCAGGATAAAGAGTCATGGATGTCCATAATTGTTCATTTTTATCAATATTATTATTATTATGATATTTATAGCGTGCCGTCAAATTCCGCAGCGCTTTACAATGGGTGGACGAACAGACATGTAGTTGTAACCAGACAAGTTGGACACACAGGAACAGAGGGGTTGAGAGCCCTGCTCAATGACCTTACATGCTAGAGGGAGTGGGGTAAAATGACACAAAAAGGTAAGGATAGTATTAGACTAGTGACAGTTGCAGAAGAGGAATCAGTCAGGAGCTATTAACATACAGAAGCTCTGTGTACATCTAGAGTATGGAGCTCCTGTTTTTCTTGTGAGGTTGATAACACAATTTCCTGTTGCAGGGGAAAATAAGTTACTACTTTCAACAAGAAGTGTTGAACAGATCTCAAGGTTACTTTATCTGAGAAAACACTGTGTGGGGAGTGCTGCAGGAGAGAGCCTGTAGCTCTGAATACCTTATTGCTAAAGTTATGGCCACCAGAAAGAGTGTCTTTAGAGTTAGCATCATCAGTGATGACTAATCTAGAAGTTTAAAGGGAGCAGCAATGAATCCCTTAAACACCAAAGGTTAGTCTCATGGAGCTATATTACTCTTGGATGAATCTTCAGAGTTGCCTGTAGAAACCTTTTCACAATAGGATCAAAAATGAAATTACCTTGTTTAGGCTATCCTGAAGAAATTCCAATTTATTAGATCTAGAAGGATGTTGGAAGGATCTGGCTTATCTGAAGTCCATGAACAAAAAAATTCCCATATCCTATGATATGTCTTGATAGTGTATTTCTTATGTAAAAGAATAAAGGTCTCAAAGACCAATTTTGGTATACCCTGGGTCAGAAGCACGAGGCATTCTAGAGCTAAGCTGCCAATTTAGGGATTTGGGGGCTCTGATGTGGGATTGGCCTTAAAGTAACAGGTCATTCCTTGCCAGAAGTCTCCAGGGGCCCACTGGAGCTAACCCCTGCGGTAGGGGTACCATGGCCTTCTTTATCAGTCTAGATTAGAGATATCACAATCACTGTTATCTTTTGTAATTTTGCCCAGTTGAAACCTCCAGTTTTAATTCAGAGCGTCCTGGCCTTGGTCATTGTAGTCCTAGTTGACGATATAGAACTTTCTGACTTTGTGGCCATAAGATTGAAATATGGCATTCCCCACATCTGGGGGATCTAAATTAAAACTTCCCTGTTGAGCGACCATTCTCTAGAGAAATGACATGATTGCTCATAAAATCTGCTACGAGATTCTCTTACCCCAAAAGGTAAACTGCCTTGAGCACCTGGACATATTTTTCCACCCAAAACATAATTAGGATAATTTATGAAAGGAGGGACCTGCTTCAAGTACCTCCTTTATGGTTGATGTAAGCTGCTGGAGACATGTCTGTCTTTATCAGAACCCAATTGTCCTTCAGACGAGTTTGAAAGGACCTCAGGGCTTTGTAGATTGTGCAAAGATCAAGGTGATTGGAAGGAAGAAAACTGAGCTGTTTGTTCCACATGCCCAAGAGCATCTGTAATGATCAGGACTCAATTCTTCCATGGGGTACCTCTTTCTGTATATGCTCCTCTTGAATGGTTTTATTCATTTTACTACATGCAGAAAGGGATTCCATCTTTGTTTGCTAGGAGTTCCAATATTGCTTTCTTCATAGGCTTTGTCTTTAGAGATGATACAGGAATTGATGAGAAACTTAATCTGTAGCAATCTTAAAATATTCTCAGTGCCCATGACTCTGAAATAGTCCTAGTCCTGGTCCTGGTCAGAAAAAAAATCTTAATCTTCTTTAAACCTCCTTGATATGGACCTTGGAAAAAAAATCTCGATATCATCTATCAACCTCTAGTCTAAATGTTCATGAGAGAGAGAGAGGTTAGCACTATTGCAGGAAGTACACCTCCTCCCAGAGTTAAGTAAGCTTTGACTAAATCTCCATCTATTCTCTTTTCCATGGGTTACTTGAAGAATTATGCACTATCAATTGGTTGGGCTGCTCTTATTTTCTAGTCCACTGATAGTTGTATCTATGCTGGGAGCAGAACTCCAGAACTTGCACTCTTTGGATTTAAAGGGTATACACAAGGAGCCCTGTTTTGTAGCTGGCTTCTTTTTTCCAGTCTCACCCATTCAGATGAGATTATCTCTTTATAGCAGAATGTTGGGGCATCCAAGGGATGCTTTCTGCTTCCTAAAATCTAAAAAAAAATTCAGCCAGGCTTCCGCTGACTATTTCTCTTTTAAAATTACATAAATTGTATGCGTTTCCCATGTCAAGAGAACTAGCTTTTCGATATCTTTGCTTTCCATATATTTAGATGAGATTTCTGACTCTAATTAAAGTTCAGAGTCCTCAGATTATAATTCTCCAAATCTGGGCTGTAAGGGGGCTGAGTCACCTAGGTCATTTTATTTGCACTGCACTCATTGTATAATCCCCGAAAACCTTGTGAATTATCTGAATAGTTTCCACAGAGAAATGTTCAAGGTTAATGCAAAATATGATTCTAATTTGTTGCTCCACTTGCTCAGTCATTTTGAAAGCAACAACCACACAGTACACATGCACACACAGTGGCGTCTAGCACCCACAATGACTAGTACATTGACGTCATCATTGTTGACGCATGTGCATTCCACATCACTCTCCTTGGCTGCCAGTTACATCAATGTCGCACAAGCCATTCTAGTTATATTAACATTGGCTGGATGCCTTCCAGACAGACCTCGTATACCACTAAAGTATGAAACAAGAAGCCCTTGTTTCCAACATTTTTGGGAAAAATATTTCATCAAGTGTAGCTCTTTGTCCCAGAATAGCACCTGATTTTGCCTCGATGAATCCCCAATATGGTGCATATGGTCACAACATGACTATCAGAACAAATACTGTAATCCGCTTCTCAGTGGTCTTATGTGCTCCCAACTTACACCATTTCAGTCAATAATGAATGCGGCGGTGAGGTTCATCTTCCTGTCCGCCCGCACCACCCATGCCTCACCCTTCTGTCTGTCCATACATTGGCTTCATGTAAGATATAAGGCTCAATTTAAAATTCTGGTTCTTGCTTTCAAATCTCTACATAATGCTACTCCCACCTATCTATCCTCACTAATACACAAGTATGTCCCGTCTAGGCCCTTACGCTCTGCTGAAGACTTAAGTCTGTCCGTACTCCAAACTCTGGATGCTCGCCTTCAAGACTTCTCCAGGGCTGCACCACTCCTGTGGAACTCGCTTCCCTCCTCCGTTAGATGCTCACCCAGTCTCCACTTTTTCAAAAATTAATTAAAAACCCACTTCTTCATAAAAGCGTATCAATTAAACTGTTAATAGCTCCCGACTGATTCCTCTCTTGCAGCTGTCATTAGTCTAATACTATCCTTACCTTTGGTGTCACATTACCCCACTCCCTCTAGCATGTAAGCTCATTGAGCAGGGCCCTCAACCCCTCTGTTCCTGTGTGTCCAACTTGTCTGGTTACAACTACATGTCTGTTCGTCCACCCATTGTAAAGAACTGCGGAATTTATTGGCGCTATATAAATAATAACATAATAATAATAATAAAAAATGCTTTTTAACAATGGATGCAATATCCTATAGTATGACATTTTTGTATTGCAGTGGGAAAACATTGTAATGTTGTACATCAATGGATATACATATTTTCTCTGCAAATTTCAATCCTATTGACTCTATGTCTTATCAGATGTGTTCTCCCAGTAAATCACTATTAAGTAGTGTTTATTTCATTACTTCTTGTTTATTTTTATGTATAATTACTACGGCTGGCAGTCTGCCCATTTATACTGGTAACCTCCTCTCTTCATAGGCCTCCTACTAATTGCTATTTATGTATAAATCATGTTTATTAGTCTTTTAAATTAGCTATCATTTGCATCATTTGATAGTGAATCACTGTTAGATGTTTTCATTTTTATTATTCTATAAATGAATAGGGACTCTGGATTAAAATACTAATGCTATGTAGATTTAACCCCCATTTAAATAATAGCAAGATTGTGATTTAATTTACTCACTGTGCATCAAAATGTTGACTTTTTTAAAATAACAGTAGTAATTAGATTCTTAATAGCAATTAGACGGCATTTAGTTTCAAATTTACCGTCATTCATCTGAATTTTTAGCAACTGGCAGGGATTCTGAAATCTTTAACTCCGAAACACCATATGGCTATATCTGTCACGTGATCTCTCTAAGAATGAATCACGTTCACATACCTATTTCCTAGCCACATGTGTTGATATATTCAGGCTATTCTCCAAACCACACTCTAACAACATCACAGTCACAAATGAGAGAGACTTGTATGTAGGGACATAGGGGCTGATGGTGCTTTATCTCAAGGCTCACGTCTCTGTAATTGGCCCATGGATCCTGACACTTCTTATATTTATTTATTGTATCATTACTTTTTGCACATCATATACTTTCTCTATAATGTTAATGCAAAGGAAATAGAGTTTATAGCCTTGTGAAAAATAAAGAGAACCAAATTCAAAGTAGATTGACTGCCCATCACAGAGTTATAATTAAAGCTAATGCTGTGCCCTGTGTGTATCTCTCTAACAGCTCAGCACCATCCCGACAAAGGATGGCTTTATGTCATTCCCCTTTTCTGCTACACTCCCTACATACACCTCTTTCTTTATCCCAGGCTGGATATCAGGAACCAGCTCCATGCCTGCTAGAAGGAAGGGAGGGAGGGAGGGAGGGAGGAAAGGAGGGAGAGGAGAAGAAATGATGTTATAGTTTGCAATTGGTGAGAGAGTTAGTTTGATATCACATGACAATAAGGGAGTGAAGGTAAGCTGCACTTAATTTAATTTCATGTGCAATATTTTTTTCTTGCAAATGTTCTGTTTATACATTATTCTGCTCTGTGTTAATTAAATGTTTATTCAGGTTTCTGGTAGTGAAGGGGTTAAGGGCTTAGCAGCCTAAAATGAGTTTGAATGAGGTCATCGTATGCTCACTCTGCATTCTCACTCTACAGTTTGCATTTTGCTTACAAACAATTGTCATGTATTTTGTTGTTGGAGAAATTAAAGGGACACTAAATGGACCAAGACCACTTTATCTGTATTCCTAATGCTTTAGAGTTCTTTTAAGGCTATATTTCAGGATGACAATAATAGCAATTGATTTGTGCCCTACTGTATGAATTTACAAATAATAACTAACAACATATATATGCCTGCTATTACTAGGGCCAAAGATAATGTGCATCTGTGCCCCTGCCAGGCCCGGACTGGCCATCGGGCATACCGGGCAAATGCCCGGTGGGCCGCGATGGCCGTGGGGCCGAGGCCGGCAGGGGAGATCACAGGATCTCCCCGGCCGGCTCCTGCAGGGCCAGCGCTACCCGAGCGCCGGCCCTGCTGTGTGTCTCCATGGGCCGGTGGGGAGATCAGAGATCTCCCTTTACCGGCCCAGAGACACTTCCAGGCGGCTGCTTGCTGGGGTGTGAGGGAGGGATGAGAGGACCGGCGGAGCTCTATCCAGCAGCTCCGCCGGGTCCTCTAGCGGGATTCTGAGCGTTGCCGCGGTTACCGCGGCAACGCTCAGATCTCGCGAGAGTGAACTCTAGCCTATAGGCTAGAGCTCATGCTCACCACTAGGACCACCAGGGATCAGGCAGCATGGCTCTCCCATGGCAGAACGGCTCCCCCCCGTCCCAGGCAAAACAGTTCCCCACCCCCTCCCAGGCTAAAGGTAAGAAGGGAGGGGGGGATATAACTTTTTTTTAAAATTATTATTATTAATAAAAAAAAATTTTTTATTTAAATTAAACAAAATCACACTCACACACATCACCCCCAGACACACACAGCACCCCCAGACACACACACACCCCCAGACACACACATCACCCCAGACACACACAGCACCCCCAGACACACACACAGCACCCAGACACACACACAGCACCCCCAGACACACATCACCCCCAGACACACACAGCACCCCAGACACACACACAGCACCCCAGACATACACACAGCACCCAGACACACAGCACCCAGACACACACATCACCCCCAGACACACACAGCACCCAGACACACACAGGCACCCCCAGACACACACAGCACCCCCAGACACACACAGCACCCCCAGACACACAGCACCCCAGAGATACACATCACCCCCAGACACACACAGCACCCCCAGACACACACAGCACCCAGACACACACAGCACCCCCAGAGACACACAGCACCCCAGAGACACACAGCACCCCCAGACACACACAGCACCCCCAGACACACACAGCGCACCCAGACACACACAGCGCACTCAGGCACACAGCACCCTCACTCACACACAGCACCCTCGCTCACACACACACACACACATATATATATATATATATATATATTTACAGATATATATATATATAATATATAAAATAACCCTCAGTGAGTTAACAGACAAAGAAAATTAGAATGTGACGGCAGATAAAAACACCCTCACACACAGCACCCCTCTTACATACACACACACTGCGCCCCTCACACATACAATACGTCCAAATATATATATATGTATGTATAAATATATATATACACACACACACACACACACACACTACAGCACTACATACATTACGCTCCAGATACACGCTAGATCCCTTACCTTATATGCACTCTTAATCCTCTATACACACACACACACACACAATCTCCTATACACACTCTGGGTCCTTTACACACTAGATCTCCTACACACACACTGCACCACCTACACACACACTACATTCCTTGTCAGCAAACACATACAACAATCTCTAAACACACCCTCTCTACAACCCCTACACACACTACGTCACCTATACACACACACTACAGCCCGTATGCACACACTCGCTACATCCCCTATAACACTATGCCACCTATACACACACTCTCTACAGCCCCTAGCCACACATATTACACCACAAACACAAATGAAATTGACCTATTTACACAATACCACACCACACTCTACACACACGCAATCCCACAAGCAGGCTCCAAACACATGCACCATACACTTTCCTGGCCCTTTTGTCCTCTGGTATCCCACTTGTTGAGACACCAGAGACAATTTAAAAGCAAACACAGCGCAAGCATGTTATTAAATTTGCTTGCGCTGCGCAGAACAAATACAGGGCCTTTTTCTAATGCCAGAGCTCTTCAGCGCAGCTCTGCGCATTGAACCAACATGCTCACTTTGAGAGGAGGCGTGCTTGTCATTAGTGATGACAAAACACACCCTCTCTGGCCCCGCCCCCTTCTTAGGGGGCCGCTCTGATTGAAAAATGCCCGGGCCTAATTTTTTCCCCAGTCCGGCCCTGGCCCCTGCATACCAAATTATGGGATGTTTATTCATTGAGGGATTCAGTTTAAGCTAACATATTTATTTTCAAGTTATATACTCAACATGCACATATGCGATGGCAGCTCTGCGTCTGGAACTTTTAGTGTCTTTTTAAAATTATATCCTGAGGCCGCCTGACCTCATATCCTGTTATTTGACACCCATAGATACTCATTAGATAATCAGGTCAATGCAAAAATCCTCATAAAAGAAGCTCCTGGATGCCAAAGTGAATGCAATGTTTATACTTACTAAAATATTAATTGGATAAAATGTTAAATATATCTTTTGGGAACATAAAGGAAGAGCAAACCTATTTCGCAAAACAAAGTATAAATCATACAAGCAGGATCAAACTGGCTGACTGGGAGATTTTCTGGTAGGCTGCCTTAGGCTCAGCTTGGGACGGTCTGGATGCCATGCAGTGCTACTATCAGAAATATTGGGGCCCTTTATACAGCTCAAGGCCTGGGCCACCAGGGAACCCATCCAAAGGGAGTGGAGTGTATGTGTGTGTTTAAATGATGTAGTGTGTGTGTGTATGGTATGTATTTTTTTTGTGTGTGAGTGTGTGTAGTGTGAGAGAGAGAGTTTGGAGGGTAGAATAGGTGCTGAACTTTGTGGGGGCTGATAGATGCTCCCTTATAGAGCATTCAGAGCTCTGAAAGATAAGACCAACGAGAATAAGAGGGCTGCCCCTCACGTCCTGTACAACTCTGCAAAGACCCAGGGAGGGAGATATTTGATCTCTCTTACCTGGTGTATGTATACATTGAACATAATTATAAACGCAACACTTTTGTTTTTGCCCCCATTTTTCATGAGCTGATCTCAAAGATCTAAGACTTTTTCTTTGTACACAAAAGGCCTATTTTTCTCAAATATTGTTCACAAATCTGTCTAAATCTGTGTTAGTGAGCACTTCTCTTCCATCCACCTCACAGGTGTGGCATATCAAGATGCTGACTAGACAGCATGATTATTGCACAGGTGTGCCTTAGGCTGGCCACAATAAAAGGCCACTATATATATATATATATATATACTTTTTCTTTGGTTTTTACTGTATATATTGGGGCTGATGTGTACTGTGGTCGTTGCTGCCGCCCAGGAGTGATGGGAGTGAGCGCAGGACTTGTTTTTTTGTATTTGTATATAAATATATATATATAACTGCAAATCTTTTCAACTAAATTTTCTCCTTTCCACAATTATCCAGTTTAGTGAATTGTCATGCAAGAGATAGAGGGCACACAAATATGAAAGAAACAGCGAAATAATAAACTACACTTCATTACTTTGATTTTTTTCAACAACAGTAACATGGTTGTGATTCAAACAGTGTTAACATATTAGGAAGTACTACAGAAGCATAATTTGACCCCAGAGATTGTAGAATAATGAAAAAGCTACTGGTATGTTATTCATTGTGTGTGACTGTGCTTACATTAAAAGAACTACCTGGCATATGATATAATCTATATATTTATGGTTGATATAACTGCAGCATGTGTTACAGCATATAAATATATGTATATACAAACAATAACTCTGCAACTTAGTAACATAACAAGTAAACTAAGATATCTATACATATATATAGTTTACTTGTTATGTTACTAAGATGCAGCAGTTATTGTTTAACCCCTTAAAACCGGAGGGCGTACTATTACGCCCTATTCTAAGCGCCTCTAAACGCCGCAGGGCGTAATAGTACGCCCTCATGGTTTTTCTTACTTACCCGGTCGCTGGCGTGGGTCGGGAGACTCACCTGGGATCCCAGGGAGTCCCCCGCGGCAGATCCTGCCTCCTCCGCCCCCTCCTCCCCCCTTGCCATGTGAGAGTGAGGTCCTTGCGAGGACCTCACAATCACATGGCCGGGTTAGCTGGCTGCTGCATTGCCTGTAATGACAGTCCCCCTGTTGGCTGAATTCAAATAATCAACAGTTAAAATCAGTGTAAAAATATATATATATACACACATATACATACACACACATAGACTGTCTAGGTGTATTTTACTATTAATATATATATATAATTATATATATATATATATATATATATATATATATTAATATCAAATTACACGTAGACTGATACTGATTAAATATATATATATATAATTATTGTTATATATATATTTATATATAATATAAAAAATAAAAAAAAATAAAAAAAATAATTAAAAAATATATAGATGTGTGGTATTTCATGCTAAACGTATTGTAATATTAACCCCTTAGCGACCGAGGACGGTTCAGGACCGTCATCGGCATTTTTGCCTTGAGGACCGATGACGGTCCTGAACCGTCCTAACGGTCTGGGGGTACTTACCCGATCGCCGTCGTTCCCCCGGCGGCGATCAGTGTTCCTCTGGTTGTGGGGAGACTGCCTGCAGCCCAGACAGTCTCCCCACACTGATTTAGGACCCCTGTGGCCATGTGATCGCTTAACACAGCGATCACATGGTCACAATAGGTGTCCATAGTGCTGCCTGCAGGGGGACTGTCTGTGCTGACAGGCAGTCTCCCTGCTAATGTAAAATCAAAAATAAAAATAAAGTTAATGGTAATAAAAAAATAATAATAATTATATAGGTGTATATATGATATATAGACATATAATATATCTATATAATATATGTCTATATATCATCTATATAATGCCATACTAAGTGTATTTTTATATTAATATGTACTTATATTAATATAAAAATACACCTATAATTAAATTACACACGTATATATATAATATATATAATAACTATATATATTATATATATATATTATTATAAAATATAAATAATAAGTAATTTAAATTAAATTAAAATTTTTTTAAATAATAATAAAAAAATTAAAAAAATTATAAATCTATATGAAATTTTATTCTAACTGTATTTTAAAATTAATATATATATATTTATATCAAAATACACTTAGAATGAATTTGTATATATATCTATGTATATAAAAATAAATAAAAATAATAAGAAATATACATATGTCCATATACAAAATTGCATAAATAATTATATAAATATACACGTAGACTTCAAATATATATAAATATGCATAAATATTTAAATTCTACGTGCGTATTTATGTAATAGTTTTACATAATTCAGTAATTTTATTGATTGCAATTTAAGGGACCTGCCTGCCAACCCAGGCCGAAATTCCAGAGAATTGAATTTGCTAGCACTGTATTTTACCCTGTAATGTTCTACGACACCCTAAAACCTGTAAATGGGGGGTACTGTTTTACTCGGGAGACTTCGCTGAACACAAATATTAGTGATTCAAAACAGTAAAACATATCACAGCGATGATATTGTCAGTGAAAGTGACTTTTTTTGCATTTTCACACACAAACAGCACTTTTACTGATGATATAATTGTTGTGATACGTTTTCCAGTTTTTAAACACTAATATTTGTGTTCAGCAAAGTCTGCTGAGTAAAACAGTACCCCCCATGTACAGGTTTTATAGTATTTTTGAAAGTTACAAGGTCAAATATATGGGTCAAATATTTTTACATTGAAAATGGCCAGGTTGCTTACCTTGCCTTTGAGAGCGTATGGTAGCCCAGGAATGAGAATTACCCCCATGATGGCATACCATTTGCAAAAGAAGACAACCCAAGGTATTGCAAATGGGGTATGTCCAGTCTTTTTTAGTAACCACTTGGTCACAAACACTGGCCAAAATTAGCGCTCAATTTAGTTTTTTTACTTTTTTCACACACAAACAAATATGAATGCTTACTTTGGCCAGTGTTTTTGACTAAGTGGCTACTAAAAAAGACTGGACATACCCCATATTGAATACCCTGGGTTGTCTACTTTTAAAAAAATATGTACATGTGGGGTGTTATTCAGAGATTTATGACAGATAATAGTGTTACAATGTCACTATTGATAAATTTAAAAAATGTATGTTTTGAAACCGCAATATTCTACTTGTACCTATAGCCCTATAACATGCAAAAAAAAGCAAAAAAGCATGTAAACACGGGGTATTTTTAAACTCAGGACAAAAATTTGAATCTATTTAGCAGTTTTTTTAATTCGCTTTTGTAGATGAGTAAAAGATTTTTCAAGTAAAAGTCAAAAAACATGTATTTTTTTCAATTTTTCATCATTTTTTTATTTTTTTAAAATTAAAATACATGAGATTATATAAATAATGGTATGTAAAGAAAGCCCCCTTTGTCCTGAAAAAAACAATATATAATTTGTATGGGAACAGTAAATGAGAGAGCGGAAAATTCCAGCCAAACACAAACACCACAAAAGTGTAAAAATATGCCTGGTCGCAAATGTACAACATCGCAAAAACAGTCCAGTCCTTAAGGGGTTAATATATATATATGTTTATATCAAAATACACATAGAACTAAATAATATATATCTATATACCTAAATATATACGTATATATCACTATATATATATATACCTATATATAATTTAAAATATTTTAAAAATTATATATATATATATATATATATATATATATATATATATATATATATATATATATATATATATATATATATACATACGTAAATATATACATATATATTTATGTAATATTTTTACATAATTAGGTATTTTAATTAATTACAATTAGCGGAACCTGCCTGACAACCCATGCCGAAAGTATAGGTAATTTAATTTGCTAGCACTATATTTAACCCTATAACTTTCCAAGACACCATAAAACCTGTACATGGGGGGTACTGTTTTACCTGGGAGACTTCGCTGAACACAAATATTAGTGTTTCAAAACAGTAAAATGTATTAAAACGATGATATCGCCAGTATAAGTGACTTAGTGCTGTTTTTCACAGACAAACAGCACTTACACGATATTATTGCTGTGATACTTTTTACTGTTTTGAAACACAAATATTTGTGTTCAGCGAAGTCTCCCGAGTACAACAGTACCCCTCATGTACAGGTTTTATGGTGTTTTCAAAAGTTACAGTGTCAAATATAAGGCTTGTGTTTCATTTTTTTCACATTAAAATTTGCCCGATTGGTTACATTGCCTTTGAGACCCTATGGTAGCCCAAAAATGAAAATTACCCCTATGATGGCATACCATTTGCAATAGTAGACAACCCAAGGTATTGCAAATGGGGTATGTCCAGTCTCTTTTAGTAGCCACTTAGTCACAAACACTTGCCAAAATTGGCGTTTTTTGCATTTTTCACACACAAACAAATATTAACGCTAACTTTGGCCAGTGTTTGTGACCAAATGGCTACTAAAAAAGACTGGGCATACCCCATTTTCAATATCTTGGACTGTCTACTATGGCAAATTGTATGCCATTATGGGTGTAAATTTCATTCCTGGGCTACTATACAGTCTCAAAGGCAACGTAACCAATCTGGCGAATTTCAATTTCAAATGTAATGTGCTGTATTTGACCCTGTAACTTCCCAAAACACCATAAAACCTGTACATAGGGGGTACTGTTTTACACGTGAGACTTTGCTGAATACAAATATGTTTATTTTATTGCAGTAAAAGCAAACAGTATTATGACATTGACAGTTAAATTGTCATGTAGAACTAAAAAAATAACAAAATTTCTTATTTTCTCCCATTTTTTTCATGTTATGTTTCATAGCTAAATATTTGATATTAAATGAAAGCCCTGTTTCCCCTGAATAAAATGATATATAATAAGGGTGGGTGCATTTAATATGAAAGAGGTGAATTACGATTGGACAGACATGTAGCGCAAATGCCAGGTTTTGTTTATGTTTTGTTTTGTTCACAACGTGCACATTTGGCTCAGTCCTTAAGGGGTTAAATAATGTATTTGTTTACGCAAAGTTAATACAAGTAACCAGAAGGGGAGCTCTACATAGAAAGAAGCCTAATTAATTGAAATTGAAATTGACACTCCCCAGGATTTTTACTATTTTGTTTTCTTATTCATATATTTAACCAATATGTATTAGTGACATGTGAAATTGTCACCCTGGCATGATGTAATTTGAACACTTAAAAAAAAAAATAGGCCAAGATGTTGTCCTGTTTCTAAAACCATCATTGGGTAACACGGCTGTTGTTTCCCACATATGTTTACCTATAGGTTTGTGACATTGAGCAGGGCATTAGCTTCATGGAGTAAGGAATTGTGACACTGATTTATTGAGCAGATTTAGGGGTCAGAGTTACATTCTGGCACACCTCTTTAAATATCACTATCCTCCACTGCTTGGTTATCTACTGTGTATCCATAAAACCTGCATCCTTTTATCTTACTCTATTTTAACTGCATGAACTTAATGTATAGCTTTTCCGTTCTATTTCCAAGTTAATTTTTACCTTATGTCCTTGGCACAGATCGAGTTGCACAGAATATTATAAAATCCCACATGGAGACATGTCAATATACAGTGGACGAACTGCATCAATTAGCTTGGCAGACACATACCTATGAAGAAATTAAATTATATCAAAACAAGGTATAGTATAGACCCCCAACTAGGGGCTGCCATTTTACCATTTCATCTAATTCCTGAGTCTAAGTCCATAAGTCTTTAGGGAACATATCATATAAGGCTGAATTATCTTTGCAGAGTAGGGCTTACTCACTGAATAAAAATTCTCCCATTGTCTTCACTGGAATTGCTATACAGCAAACAGGATAAATACTTGCTCTATTAAGAGAATCCAGACCATAAATTGTAATATAGAGAGCTTAAAATAATATATGCATAATTCAGCAAAAATTTTGAATAAATGCACCAACTGTAAGATATCAAGGTCCACAAAATAATTTAGAAGCACCTACATTCAGAAACACCAAAAATGTGACACTGTAATTACGTCAGTATTTTTACAGGTTTAGTGACTTATCAGCTGTGATGGCCAAATGTTGGCAATCTAGCTGCTTCTATTGTTTTCCATAACTCAGTTGGAGACTACTTACCTGAGGTCTTGCTCTTGAGAGCCAAAAGCTCCTGGTAGGGTTAGCTCCAGGTTCTGTGATGTACAGCAATAGTTAAACAGGAAAGGTCCTTGAAGGGAAGGTGTTCCATGGTCCTGATTATTCTTGTGTGGAATGTCGTGCCAATATGGTTTGGGGCCACTTAGATATATTGCATAGAGGTATTGTAAGGGATGAGGCTGCACAATCGAGTAGAGGCCCATTATACAATTAGATTTAGTTGCATGTGACTGAAATATACATCTCAAAGTTAGCTGAGGAAATGAGTGTGAAAAATTGGGAATGGTTTTCACATTTTTTTAATATTTTTTTTTTTTTATTAACTGGACTTTAAAGGAATCTGTGCAGCAGATAGGAATAGATATTTATGTTATTTTGAGTTATTTTGAACAAAGGAGGAGACTAAAACGTATATCACAATTAAGAGTCTAGAGACATTGTAAATAAGAATGTTGATTGCAAAGTATAGAATACAGGTAGCAATGATATAGCACACCCATAAGATGTAAAAGACTTCATAATGTAGCTGTAATATAGCAAAAGGCTCTTCACACAACATTATTTTTTTTAACATCCGATCTCTAACTGATGTCAGCCATTTTGGCTTGCTTTTTTTTGCCTGCAGTTAGAGGTCATATATTTTAATTGTCCATTTTATTGGCTCTCTCTTATAGTGCAATAATTGGTGTAGCTAACAGCAGCCAAGCACAGAGCAGTAGAGAATGTAACAATTGCTACACCAATGGTACCAATTGCTAGACCAACTGCAAAACAGTCAATTAAAATGCACATTTAAATGTCATGCAAAATATAAAATGTAGGATTCCCCAGAATCACTAGTTCACCATAATCCATAGTTTATGAACATCCATGTGTGTCTATGGCTGCAGACTTCATACCTCTCAGCGGTCCCAGAAGCAGAGAAGACCATAGAGACTAACTGTCAGTTTTCAAACACATGTATGGCTGAAGAAATCTGTCATATATTAAAAGTGTTAATGTGTTTTTATTTGTTTTTAAATCTCTTTTCGTGAATACTTGATATACGGAATATTATGCTAAAAATATATTTTGAAGTGACAATTGAATTTTAAGGCACATAGTTAGTAAGTCATTAGATCAGTTCTCAAGGAGCAAACTGCATTGAAGTCATTGAGCTCATGGACAGAGTATTTTAACAACCAACACTCTATGGGCATAACCAGTAATGCAACCGTATCACTGACATTCCATCTTAGGACCATCACAGTTCCAAAACTTTGATTGTATTGAGACAATTTTAGCTTTGACCAAACCGTTAGGTGTAAACAAATTGTATTTGATATTTTACTGCTTCATGGTGTTTTACAGACAAGAGAAGCTTTGTGGCAGCAGTGTGCCATTCAAATCACCCATGCTATTCAATATGTGGTGGAGTTTGCAAAGCGAATAACAGGCTTCATGGAACTGTGTCAGAATGATCAGATATTACTCCTTAAGTCAGGTGAGTAGAGAATATGTATGAGGCCTATCAAGCCCATTTCTTTCCTGATATGTACCTGATATCTACCAAATAACCTCACTGAGCATTGAAGTGACACCATAGTCAGGATGGTGCAAAGGGACTCCAGACAATGTGTTGTTGTTGTTGTTTTTTTTTTGTATTCAGCAGTGTAGTGTCCCTTTATATATTGAGCTTTTGAAACTGTAAAAAAATGTGTTTCCTGTTTATGCTGCATGTGCAAAGTATATTGTTAGCTGTATCCATTATTAAGAAACATAAATAATGTCATGTGATCAGGGCTGCCATCAGATATTTTGGGGCCCCTGACACAGCTCAAGTTCTGGGCCCCGGGAGCCCGCCCCCGAGTCTGCTCATAGTGTCACACCTGAGTCTGCCCACAGGGCCTGCCCCAAGTCTACCCACAAGGATGAAGTTTGTGTGTAGTGAATGTGGTGTGTGTTTAGTGGATGTAGAATGTGTAAAGTGGATGAGGTATGTGTGTCATGGATACAGTGTGTATAGTGGATGCAGATTGTATGTTTATGTAATGTATGTAGTGTTTGTGAGTATTAGATGCAGAGTGTGTGTTTGTGTAGTGGATGTAGTGTGTGTATAGTGACTGCAGAGTGTGTGTTTGTGTAAGGATGTAGTGTATGTAGTGAATGAAGAGTGCATGTTTGTGTAGTGGTTGTAGTGTGGTATAGTGACTGCAGAGTGTGTGTTTGTGTAAGGATGTAGTGTGTGCAGTGACTGCAGAGTGTGTTTGTGTAAGGATGCAGTGTGTATAGTGACTGCAGAGTGTGTGTTTGTGTAAAGATGTAGTGTGTGTAGTGACTGCAGAGTGTGTGTTTGTTTAAGGATGTAGTGTATGTAGTGAATGAAGAGTGCATGTTTGTGTAGTGGTTGTAGTGTGATATAGTGACCGTAGAGTTTGTGTATATTTATGTAGTATGTGTTTTGACTACAGAGTGTGTGTTTTTATATTTATGTAGTGTGTGTTGTGACTGCAGAGTGTGTGCTTGTGTAAGGATGTAGTGTATGTAGTGAATGAAGAGTGTGTGTGTAAGGATGTATTGTGTGTAGTGAATGCAGAGTGCATGTTTGTGTAAGGATGTAGGGTTTTAGTGAATGCAGAGTGTGTTTGTGTAAGGATGTAGTGTGTATATAGTGACTGCAGATTGTGTGTTTGTGTAAGAATCTATTGCGTGTAGTGCCTGCAGAGTGTGTGTTTGTGTATTTGTTGTAGTGTGGTATTGTGACTGTGGAGTGTGTGTTTGTGTAAGGGTGTTATGTGTGTAGAGTGACTGCAGAGTGTGTGTGTGTGCAAGGGTGTTATGTGTGCCTATGTTCCTGTGTGTCCAACTTGTCTGGTTACAACTACATGTCTGTTCGTCCACCCATTGTAAAGTTGTAGTATAGGGTGTAACATGCATAATGTGGGGGGGAGCATATGTTATTATTATTTATAATTTTTGATTTATTATTAACCCCTTAAGGACCGAGGACGGTTCAGGACCGTCATCAGCATTTTTCCATTGCCGACCAGTGACGGTCCTGAACCGTCCTAACGGTCTTATGTACTTACCCGGTATGGGGACACTGCCTGCAGCCCAGACAGTTTCCCCATGGCGGATTAGGACCCCTGGGGCCATGTGATCGCTCAACAGAGCGATCACATGGTCACAATAGGTGTCCATGTGTCTGCCTGCAGGGAGACTGCCTGTGCTGACAGGCAGTTTCCCTGCTAGTGTAAAATCATTAAAAAAAATAACTGTTAATGTTAATAAAAAATCAATAATTATATATGTGTATATGAATATGATATATAGACATATATTATAATCATATATATAATGTCATAGTGTATTTTTATAATATGTACATATATTAATATAAAATACACTTATAATTAAATTACACACGTATATATATATAATATATATAATAACTATATATATTTTATATATATTTTATTATAAAATACAAATAATAAGTAATTTAAATTAAACAAAAAAGTAAAAATAATAATAAAAAATGTAAAAAAATTATATATCTATATAAAATGTTATTCTAACTGTATTTTGATATTAATATATATATATATATATATATTAATATATATATATATATATATATATATTAATATATATATATATATATATATATATTAATATCAAAATACACTTAGAATGAAATTGTATATATATTTATGTCCATATACAAAATTACATAAATAATTATATAAATATACACATAGACTTCAAATATATAAATATGCTTATATATTTAAATTCTATGTGCGTATTTATGTAATATTTTTACATAATTAAGTAATTTTATTGATTGCAATTTGAGGGACCTGCCTGCTAACCCAGGCCGAAAGTCCAGAGAATTTAATTTGCTAGCACTGTATTTTACCCTGTAATGTTCTACAACACCCTAAAACCTGTACATGGGGGGTACTGTTTTACTCTGGAGACTTTGCTGAAAACAAATATTAGTAATTCAAAACAGTAACACATATCACAGCGATGATATTGTCAGTGAAAGTGACTTTTTTTGCATTTTTCACACACAAACAGCACTTTTACTGATTATATAATTGTTGTGATATGTTTTCCAGTTTTAAAACACTAATATTTGTGTTCAGCAAAGTCTCCTGAGTATAACAGTAACCCCCATGTACAGGTTTTATAGCGTTTTTGAAAGTTATAGGGTCAAATATATGGCTTAAATATGTTTACATTGAAAATGGCCAGGTTGGTCACGTTGCCTTTGAGAGCGTATGGTAGCCCAGGAATGAGAATTACACCCATGATGACATACCATTTGCAAAAGAAGACAACAAAAAGTATTGCAAATGGGGTATGTCCAGTATTTTTTAGTAACCACTTAGTCACAAACACTGGCCAAAATTAGCGTTCAATTTAGTTTTTTACTTTTTTCACACACAAACAAATATGAACGCTAACTTTGGCCAGTGTTTGCGACTAAGTGGCTACTAAAAAAGTCTGGACATACCCCATATTGAATATCCTGGGATGTCCACTTTAAAAAAAATATGTACGTGTGGGGTGTTATTCAGAGATTTATGACAGATAATAGTGTTACAAATGTCACTATTGATAAATTTTAAAAATGTATGTTTTGAAACCGCAATATCCTACTTGTACTTACAGCCCTATAACATGCAAAAAAATAGCAAAAAAGCAGGTAAACACTGGGTATTTTTAAATTCAGGACAAAATGTTGAATCTATTTAGCAGTTGTTTTTATTCGCTATTTGTAGATGAGTAAAATATTTTTTTAATTAAAAGTAAAAAAACATGTATTTTTTTCAATTTGTCATCATATTTTTTCATTTTTTAAAAATTAAATTACATGAGATTATATAAATAATGGTATTTAAAGAAAGACACTTTTGTCCTGAAAAAAACAATATATAATTTGTATGGGAACAGTAAATGGGAGAGCGGAAAATACAGCTAAACACAAACACCACAAAAGTGTAAAAAGATGCCTGGTCGCAAATGTACAACATCGCAAAAACAGTCCGGTCCTTAAGGGGTTAAACATTTTGATTTCTTCCCCTCTCCCTGTGTCTTACCTCTGTCCAGGGAGTGGAGCTATCACATTCCCTGGTTGTCCAGTGGCATGGTGAGGCACCCTACCCCCCAGCTACCTGTTACTGCAGGGGGCCCATCTTCACTTCCCAACTGCTCTGCCTAAGTGTCGCAATCCGCGTGGAGCATTGGAAGACTTTGCTTTAAGTTTTGCAAGTGCCGCGGTCGTCAGTGTTGCCATGGGTTACCATGGCAACGCTTCGCGTCGTTTGCGAGACTTAGACAGAGCAGCTGGGAAGTGAAGATGGTGTGTGCTGGGCCCCCTGCAGTAACAGGTAGCTGGGGGCCCCAAAGAGAATCGCTATATATATGTGCACATAGTTAATGTGGGGCAAGGGACTCTCTGAGCAGTCTAGTCCCCCCAGGACCGCCAGGCCCATGACAACTGTCACGGTTGTCATGCCCTGATGGCGGCCCTGCATGTGATTATGTCTAATTGTATTTTATTAATAATTTTCTTATGTGTATTAGTGTATCTCACGTCACTCTATAGTCATGTGACCAAACAGAATTTACTGACTGGTGAAAAGGCTATGTGCTGTCAAACAAAACTGATGCAGTTATAGGTTCTGTGTGCTTGGCACTATTGTTAACATAAAATATCACAGATCTACGTATCTGTTTATGTTTAACACTTGTATTAAGTTTTATTGATCTGGGACTACAACTATAAAGTGGATCTGTCTGCTTTTCAGTACAGTATCAGCTGAATGATAAGTCTCCCTTGCATATTTGTCTAACTTGCATGACTGCTGACTACTTAAAGGGACACTCTAGACCCCTAAAGCACTGTAGCTTGCTGAAAAGCTTTATGTGTGACCTTTTTTTCCATTTTGGAAACAGTGCAGATTTTAATAGAAATTTACACTTTTATAAATTGTATTGGTTACACCTCCTGGCTTTTCAAGCAGACATGTCCTGTTACTTCCTGGTTTGTTTAGCTCAATAAAGCTGAACTTAAAAGGCAAAAATTGCCTAGAACGCCTGCCTTGCTAAGACTCTCATTGAGTTGCGCTGGGAAGTCTGTGATTGGACAGCCACAGGCAGTCTGTACAGGGTTAGAAGAGGAGGGCTTGCAAAGACAGCAGACAAGAGATTTTCAGTTTGTACAAGCTCTCTCTAGATAAAACTTCAATGAAAAATGCATCATTAAATGCATACACATTTTAATTTGGGGTATATCTACTAAAGAGTGATCTTTTTTATTTTGCATTTGTGCAGGGAAGTGTCACCCCTGCACAAAAAAATTTAGCATTTCCTGAAGATAAAATCTTTATCTCACTGACATTCCAACTCATGCAAAAGCTTTCAGAAGACAAATTAGAGACCTCTTTGTCCCGTTTATTTTTCCTAGCCTTGACAAAGGTTGATAAAAAGGCAGAGCTACCAATGTCAAGCTATGTCAATCTCTCAGCTGTCACTAGTGAGACATTGGATCCTCCATACTCATACGAGTACAATACTCATGTTTGCTTATGGCAGATGAAGAGCCAGAAGCTGAAGAGGACCAACAGCAAGACGACGGAAGTAGTCACTAGGGACAGGTTCAGGTAAGTAAAACTCACATCTCCTCCCATCCTGTGGCCACCTCACTGCAGTTGGCAAAGTCAACATAGGGGGGTTTTGCTAAATATGCAAAGACCACAGGAAGTGAGAGAGCCACTTTAATAAAAGTGACGTTCAGTTACGTCACCCAAGTAAAAACAGACCACAAACTCATTAGTCATTAGTCAATAGGGCAATGGTCACAGTTTTACTTCAATTTAAATAAGTCAGCAATGGAAAATCATGCAAATTAAGTTGATATTAAAAATACCAAAGAACTGAGATCATACTCTCAGGTAGCTGTAAATACTTAAGGCAGACATAGGGCTAAAGCAGTGTATTACAGAGAATCTGTGAATGCTCTGATAAAAGTTTGACACATTTGATTAAATGAGTATAAAGTATACAAATATAGACTGATGCAAAAGGCTAACATCGAGTATCAGAAAATATGAGCAGATATTTAGCACCAACATATTCTGAGGTGCTTTATAACTACAGCAAGGGATATTTGGAGGTGAAGAAGTACCTGCTAAAAAAAGTTTACAATCTGCGAGGATTTGAAGTAGGGTGATATTTATCATTAAGTGTCTTGGCAAAGAACACTTACTGGTGAGGCGGTCTGACCAGGATTCTAATTGGGGTTTTACCAGATTTAAGGCAGTGATGTTACCATTACCCTAATAATACTATGGTGCTGATTGTGAAAACAATCACTAAAAAAATAATGTGGCACTTGGCCACTTGGGAGACGTAAAGCTACTGAAATAGAATTGAAAAAAGAATAACAAATCTTTCTTTGAAAAAAGGGGGTCCCAAGTTAAAAGACTATGGTTACCGATTCTCAAAAAAAAGGTTAGATTACCCACATATAACATGTATAGCCCACTATAATTGGTAAGAAACAAAAAATTTAAATATGAACTTTATTAGTATTTAATGGGCATATCTACATAATAGTGAAAAAGAAAAAAAAAGACAGTGAAAAGCATGAAAGTGACTTGTGAAAAGTGTAATATTAAAAAGGAGAAACCTAGGGGGTCTGCCTATCTGGCTTGGAAATATCAAGCACAGCAAGCGTAGGAATATATACTAATTCTTGATCAACCCAAGTAGAAAGATAGTATCAAGAAAGACAGCTGTTTAGTGATGAAATGTTATTCCAAGTGGAAGGCTAAAATCTAGCCAATTAAATAGCAGCAGTATATGGGGAACAGAAGACTTCTTTGCAACTATAATCAGGGTTGTGGTTTGTAGTGGGGAAGGGGGTAGGTAATTATTGCTATGAACTCCTACCCTCATGTTTTCCCCTTAAAATCCCATATTCACCCTCTTTTAAGGGGAGTTTGGTCTAATTATTATGGTGGGGGTGGCAAATTAACACTCTATATACACCTACCCTCCTGTTCCTTATAATCAGACTCTACTAATATACCAGTTTACTTCCAATATCTTACATTATCTCTATCATTGTATCTACCCATACCTTTTATTCACCTTTTTGAACATCTCTAATATTTCCAATATCTCTCATTTTCAAAATATATCTAATTTTGAATCTAAATGCCAAGCTTTATTCTTATGATCCCCATAGACTGCTGCTATTTAATAGGCTAGATTTTAGCCTTCCACTTGGAATAACATTTTATTACTAAACAGCTGTATATAGTCTCACGCTTGCTGTGATTGATATATATATAAGCCAGATAGGCAGACCCCCTAGGTTTCTCTTTTTTAATATTACACTTTTCACAAGTCACTTTTGTGTTTTTCACTTTGTCTTTATTTGTATTTTTCACTTTTGTGTAGATATGCCCTTTAAATACTAATAAAGTTCATATTTTAATTTTTTGTTTCTTACCAATTATAGTGGGTTATACAAGTTATGTGTGGTTAATCTAACCTTTTTTTGAGAATCGTTACCCATAGTCTTTTGACTTGGGACCCCTTTTTTTAAAGAAAGATTTGTTATTCCTTTTCAATTTTGTCTTTTCTGGGTTAAGCCCATATTACCTATTTAGTCCACTCTTGACTCTGCCCCTCTAGTCGTGTAATGTTTTCTGAAAGCTACTGAAATAATTCATTTAAAAGGGGCATCATCTATTCATCTCCAGAAAACTATAAACAGCTTGTTACAATAATAAATCGTGCTCTTGTGCATATGGAACTAATGTTGCGAGTAGCACAACACTTGGCTGTAATTCATTTTCATAATTATTGCAGCTGTTCCTGTACTTGGCATGACTTTTCTACAAACGAATTAGGTTAATTCCATATTACTCAGTTTGTGAAAATGTTGAAAAAAAAGTTAAAATTAGAATAACAATTGAATGTATAAAACCAATTCTCCATGTAATTCACAATTAGCACAATTACAATAGTAAATATGACAATGCTTGCTAACAGACAGCTAATAATAACTGCTTTGTTATCCTGTGTCCAGGAGATATCATATTTCTGATTGATTATTCAGCTTCTTTATTTAATTCTCTATTTGGTTTTGGTTAATGATTTGCTCTACTTAATCATTGTTGTTTCATGTTTCTCTTTAATTTTTTGTTTCTTACAAAAAATTGACTTAAATCAAAATAAGATAATGTTATTAGTGAACATGATTGCTACACTGATCATAAATATCTAAACCTATTAAAATGACTCTAGTACATTTTGTCACTGTCACAGCCAGGGGCGTATTAGCCGCGAGGCAAACAAGGCATTTGCCTTGGGCGGCATTTTTCAGGGGGCGGCAAAAAACGCCGCCCCCCAAATGCCCAGGGCAAATGCCTTGTTAGCCTCGCGGCTAACAGACATCCCGAGCGGGCGGGCGGCGCTGGCAGGCGGGCGGCTGGCGAGGGAGCACTTCCTCTGAGCTGTCAGCTCAGCTCCCTCGCGCACCGCAAAGTGAGACTGGGAGCCGGAAGATGATGTCATCTTCCGGCTCCCAGCCTCACTCTGCAGCCGGCGCGCGAGGGAGCTGAGCTGACAGCTCAGAGGAAGTGCTCCCTCGCCAGCCGCCCGCCTGCCAGCCCGACCTGCAGCCACTGGACCACCAGGGAGAGAGACCCCCCCCAGCACTCCCAAAGGTAAGGAGGTTGGGGGGGGATTTAAATAAAAAAAAAGTTAATGTGTGTTTGTGTCTGACTGTGTGTGTGACTGTGTGTGTGTTTGTCTGACTGTGTATGTGTCTGACTCTGTGTGTGTCTGACTGTGTTTGTGTATGTGTGTGTGTGTTTGTGTCTGACTGTGTTTGTGAGTGTGTCTGTTTGTGTCTGACTGTGTGTGTCTGACTGTGTTTGTGAGTGTGTGTGTGTTTGTATCTGACTGTGTTTGTGAGTGTGTGTGTTTGTGTATGTGTGTGTGTGTTTCTGTCTGACTGTGTTTGTCTGTTTGTGTATGTGCGTGTGTGTTTGTGTCTGACTGTGTTTGTGTATGTGTGTGTGTTTGTGTGTGTGTGTCTGACTGTGTGTGTGTGTTTGTGTCTGACTGTGTGTGTGTATTTAGAAGGTGGGGCGGGGGGAAGGGTTGGGTGGGGGTGGTGCGGGGGCAGGGGGGCGCCTGAGTTTTGTCCTGCCTAGGGCAGCACAAAACCAGGATACACCACTGGTCACAGCTATGAATGACATATACATAAAATGTCACAAATTGTTTCTTCATGCTCTACATTAAAAGTGCTGCCATGAAAGATTCACACATTGCAGGAAGGAAGTGCATTCATTAAAAGACCACTCCACTCTTCAGCTTTCTGAAGTGCTTTATGTGAGTGGAGTCCGTGACATTTGTGACGGTTTATAAGAGTTAATTGAAATTGTCACTTTTATATTTGGTTGGCAGAGACAGCCACTGGGGTTTTATTCCGCTTCCTTTAGCTCCATGGAGTAAATGGAAGTGTCAGTACTATTATCACAGCACACTGAAATGCTTAGAAAATCTCAATGAAGCCTCTGATTGGAGTATTCGCTGCCACTGAAAATCTGTGCTAAGGATAAAGGGGAGGGCTTGAAAAGGCTGCAGACAAGAGATTTGCTGCTTTCACAAGCTGTTTTTAGATATCCATTCAAAGAAAAAATGCAGAAATAAATTGTAAATGTTCCCCCCTTTTATAATATTGCAAAGCGCTATGGAATTAGTTGGCGCTATATTAAAAAAAAAAACAATAATAATAATAATAATAAAAAGGCAGAACATTTCAAATGTTTTTAGCAAGAACCAGATCAATATATAAAAATTGAATTATTCCATTTGTTGACCTTTTTTAAAACAATGAGCTAACCCAAAAATACATAAAAGTAAAGATAGGGGCTTAAATTGTGAACAGGCACACAATTCCACTTGGCACATGCCCATGTATATTACTGGTTTACAAGTTAACGAAAAAGACCATTCGTTTTCAAATTATTTTATTCTGAAAGCCTAGAAGATCCTCAGCACTTCATCACTGCTAATCTTTACCATGCATTCAATCAATCATGAAGTTCTCACACATCCATCAGCTTCAGTTCTTCACAGATGAGCATGATAATCTTTTGCAGAATTAACCTCTGTAGAGTTTGAGATAATTATAATTGCAGCTATAGTGTTTCAGACATCCACAGGAGGCATTTTCTGTCTGTTTTTTTACTTCCTGGTAAGTATTCAACAGGACCTAAGAATTGCAAAAAGAAAATTGCTTCCCAGGCCTGTTAAAATAAAAATATGCTTAGAAATATCCAATATTAAATGCAATACTTCTTATATTTTGATTTTAATTACCCATAAATTGCAAGTAGAGACTTATTTCAAAGGAGCAATTGTGCTAATGCAGTAGACAATTGCCCCTGTGACCAGTCTAAGCACAATTTTAAAAGTTTGTTGACACACACACTGCCACATAAACACACACTCACACGAATATATACATAAACAAGGGCACAAAGCAGTGCTTTTTATGCTCCACCCAGTCCCCCACTGACTTTGACCATACTTCAGTAATAAATAAACTATGGTGACAGTCAGCAAACTAGTCCCCTATACAGCACAAAACACAGCATTACTCCTCCAGATGGGCTTCAGCTCCTTATGCCTCAGGAGACCTTTGGCTAAATCTTGAAGAACACCACATGGGCTTTGATGCGGTGACTTGTTTGGAGGCTCAGCCTTCAAATAGTATCCTTGTGTGTGGCCCTGACTCCCTCTCCCTGCTTGGCTGTGGCAACAGGAACTTCTCCTGAGGTCTGGCATGGCCTGAAGAATCTCTGGCATTACTGCACAGTCAGAGTAGCTGAACTACTGCCCTGTCTGCACACACCAAAGAGCAGCTGCAGGACACCCAAACTCTCTCGGGCCCTGGTTTCACCATTGGGTAAAGGATAAACAGTGGAGAATAAAGATTTTTCTGAAAAAGTCAAGACACTCTGAGGGAAACTGAATTACCACCAACTGGATCAAAATAATTATTTTGCAATTACATTATTTCACTAAAACTCATCAAACATTGTTGTCCTTCTCATGAAGGAGTTTCTGTGAGATGAGATGGCCTAAAAAAGATGTGATGTTATACCAATATGTAGTAGGACAGTTTAAGATAAAAATAAAACATCTCTTTCATTTTTTTCTCTATTGAAAATAAAATATTGTTTTTGTGGATTTTGTAACTTTTATATATTTTTTCTTTTGACAGGCTGTTTGGAAGTTGTATTAGTAAGAATGTGTCGTGCCTTCAATCCATTAAACAACACTGTTCTTTTTGAAGGAAAGTATGGAGGGATGCAGATGTTCAAATCATTAGGTACAATTTTTTTTCTTGTCTATATTGAATGGTCTTATATACTTTTGCATGAAAATTGAAACTAGACGTAAACAAAGTCTTTAAGCTAAAACTCCAACATATCAAGCAATAATTTCTAACAGGGAATCAGATGTAAATTTGCTTTCAAAATTTTCAGGAATTTTGCTAGAAAAAAATGTAAATTGCAGTGGCCTAAAAAATCCATTACCGCTGGAAACTCATTTTCAATTAGTTTTTTGTTTCCACTGACTTTAGATGTATATAAAATGCCATCAGGACCAGCACTACCTCTAAGCGAACTAGGCAGCTGCCTAGGCTGCAACACCCAAGGTCGCACAATCTCTGGGTGACTGGCAGGAAAGGAGCACACTGCTAAAATCTCCTCTCCTGCCAGTCACTCCCTATTGTGTGACCAAGAGGACCATGGCAAAGGGTCTTCTTTATCCTCTACCTGGTCTGACACAACATGCTCAGTAAGAGCAACAAGCAGATTTCCTGTCAGAACAGGTAGAGGAAACAGGAGATCTTCTACGATGGTCCACTCGGCCAAGCTACATGTGGGTAAACAGGTGGGGGGAAATACCACAAAGGGATGGGGGTGTGGGCAGATGGACAAAGAGGAACACAGAAGGGCTGGAGGGACAAAGAGATACACAGAGGGGCTGGGTGGACATAGTAGATCCAAGTTTTATTTTTTTTATTTTTTTTCTACAAATCTGTTTTAAAAAATTGAAGGTGACTTTTTTTTGGGTGGTCGGGGTTGCAAATAGCTGCTCTTGCCTAGATCGCAAAATAGTCTAGCAGCAGCCCTGCATGGCATTACCATGTACAGGTTAATAGTAAATACTTTATAATATCATTGATTTTTTTTGTAGACATTCTAAAGCAGTGCATTCCAATCTGTATGGGTTCTTTTTGTTTTGTTTTTAATCATTTTATTAATTATTCAGTCGATTACACAGCTATAAAAGCAGTGTTAACATGTAGAAATGTTTCACAAGGAAATATTACCTCTTTTAAAAGAGTATTACAGAATACAACTAAACCACTAAAGACAATTAGATTTTGTGTTTTTCTCACTCCACATGGTGCTGATTGAAATTCTGAGATTTTAACTAACCAAAATTATTAATTCCTATATCACCTGGTCCCTTTCCTTGATTGGAATTTGAGCTCCAGGCACATATGAGCAATGATTAATATCTCGTTCTCACTTTGGTTTCATTGACCTCCAGGTTCTGATGATCTAGTGAATGAAGCATTCGACTTCGCAAAAAGTTTATGTTCACTTCAGCTTACTGAGGAGGAAATAGCCTTGTTTTCTGCAGCTGTACTAATATCACCAGGTACTAAATAAAACAATTATTTCATTATTCTATAATAATATAATACAAAATATATATATAGTAAGTTATACAAATATTGTAAAAAAAAAATCTAAATAATTGAATGGATTTTTAAGTTTATTTGATCTGTCTCTAAATCTTTGCATGCAAGAGGATCAAGAAAACAATGTTTTTTCCGAGTCCTTGGTACTCAAAAAAATTTACTTTTGCTTTTGACATTGAACCATTTAAGTTAGAAGCTGGCAAATAGATCACTCAAAATTGACTGTATCAATTTATCTCTGTTAAATTAATTCTTTAAACACATGTGACAAATCCTAATATTACTAATCTTTTATAAAATATGTACAAAACATTTAATACATCATGTAAAATAAATGCTTTGCAGCAACAAGCTATTTTAATCTTACCTGTACCAGCAAATTCCACCTAAATTAACATGCTGACCATGTAATTACAATACAATTAAATTGAATCTGTCATGACAAATTAACTATAAATTGTAATACCTACTTTAAGGCTCCCAGACTACTTCATCTCATTCAAGTGGTGTAGGTGCAGTGCCCCTGTCTGTTTAATCCTACAATGTAAACTAATACAGTTTCTGAGAAACTGCAATGTTTCATTGCAGGGTTACATCCTCCTTTGGTGACTGTCTTCTTGTGGCTGTTACGTTCTCCAATAGAGGTGCTTTCTGCTCCCTTATGGAGTTTTACTCCATGAAACAATGTTGGACATCCTCAAGCTTTGTGTGAAAACATCTAACATCTTCAAATTCTCCATAGTAAAGCTATCCTTTCCTATGGGGAAGCTTTAATGCATATGCAGCTCTTGCTGCACATGCACTTTAGGGCAAACCAGTTCCCTGATGTCGGGGGAGAAGAAGACCTCGGGAAGGTGCCTCAGTGCTGAAATTAAAGTTAAAAAAAAAAGACAGGAATGCTAGGAGGGGAACCTAACAAGTTAGGGAACGGGACTCTATAGCATTAGGAATACAGGATTGTACTATAGTGTTCCTTTAAGCAACATAATAATATCCTAATGATAAATGATGTATTTAATAGCTTAAGGATATAGTCATACAACACTTACCTTAGTTTCTACACAGTTTTGCCATTCCCCAGATTCCCATCCACACCCCAATTTTCTCTTACCTTCTGTCTCCTTCCTCCAATGGACCAGTGAAACACCTCACCAACCAGCCAAAATGCTGATTTATTTTGCCAGCCCTTTGGCATCTGAAAGGAGTGATATCTGCTCATAATGGAGTAACATCTGCAAGTCATGCTCACCAGAGGATAATCACAGCAGTAACAGTGCATGCACTGTAGTTGCTGTGATAAGACCAGGATTGCTTCATGTAGGTACCAGGTAAAAGGAAGTTGAAATCTACCATAACAATGTTCATAAATCTTGTACTTGGTTTAAATTAGTCTCGTACAAGGTTTGCTCCACTAACATTTTATGTAATGTTTTGTGTTCCATGACAGGTGCACTTTAACGATAAAGTATTTGGGATATATAGACATTCATCTTTAGTCTTTGTTTTTTTGTTAAACACTATACTCTTATAATCATAATGCTTGTTGTGTTGATGGTTTCAGTTGCCTAACATGTTTATTATTTTGTTTTGTTATTTCTGGTTCAGAACGACCTTGGCTGATAGAGCCAAGAAAAGTCCAGAAACTTCAAGAAAGGATTTATTTTGCACTTCAGCATGTGATTCAGAAGAACCACTTAGATGATGAGACTTTGGCAAAGGTTAGTCTTTTGATACACAATGGGAATTTTGAAAGTGGCACTTTTATTAAAGCAGCAGTGTAATTGTACAATGATAAACTCTATCTGTATCTTTCCACTGACAACATATTTTTTCCCTACAAATCACATAAATTAAGGCAGATTTTCTGGGAAAAGTGTTTCAAATTAGGTTAACCATTTAACTATATTAAAGAAGCACTCCACACACCTGAATGACTTTTGCCTGCTGAAGTGCTTTATCTGTGAAGTGTGTCCTCTTTTTTCACTTGGCAAAAAGTACAGATTTCAATAGAAATTGATACTTTTATAAATTAAGTTTCTTATTGGCTGTTAATCAGACAACAGGTCGTGTTACTTCCTGGTTTGATTAGCTCAGTGGAACTAAGTTCAAGAGGCAGCAATTGCCCAAATCATGTGCCTTGCAAAGACTTCTTATTGAGCTGTATTGGTTCTGTGATTGGACAGCCACATAAAGTCTGAGCTGAGGAAGAACGAGAGGGCATTCAAAGGTTGCAGAGAACACATCTGTGGTTATTGTAGGCTGTTTTTAGATATACTTCCAATACAAAAAGTGCATAATTAAATGAATGTATGTTTTCATTGGAGGTATATCTACTAAACTGCTATTTTTCTTTTTATGTGGGCAGCGAAAACCTACCATGCTCATGTGTTTTTAAATGCACTACATATCCTATGATCCCTGAGTTGACCACTAAGTCCAAACAGCATCCTATCCATGTCTTCTCTTTAGAAGTATATAGCTAGGTGCCAAACATTTTGTGGTGTGACCAAACAGGACAAAACTCCCAACTTGCATATCTCAAGTTGGACTTTAGAAAGTTCCCCTTGGGCAGAGAAACTTGAGAAATCATGTTTCCACAACTATCCCAGAGTTTCCGGCTTGACATTCAAATGAGTACAGACATTGTTTTAAACACATGGATTATGATCTGAAAGTATCAGTCACTAGAAACCAACCATGGACTGTACTTTTGCAACCTTATGGCACTGGTTCAAGCTCACATTTCTGTGCCCGTAGGGTGTGGGGGCGCTTCTCAAAGCCCAACTAGAGATATGCCGGTGATGCATTTTCTATTAGCACTGTAGGGAGTTTTATTGTGTTTGGACTCTATGAACTTTTAGGCACCTAGCTATAGTCTCTCTGAGAGACTTTAACATCCAGACCAGAACCAGCACCATGCTGGTTAACATTTTCATGTCTGGTCTCTGGTAACTGATCCTTTCGTATCATAACCCATGCTTTGGTTTACAAAAATGTTGTGTTTAAAACAATGTCCATTACTAAGGATATGTGCAAAAATGTAGAGTAAAGTCTGAAGCATAATGTCTGTTTGTGCTCATTTGCATGTGCTCATTTGCAAGCTATGAGCTCTCGGATAGTTGTGGAGCAAGTGGAAACATGATTTTTTGAGCTTCTGTGCCCAAGGAGGACTTCTCAAAGTCCAACTTGAGATATGCAGGTGATACACAACAGTTATTTTTCTTTAGAAGTATGAGACATGCTAAAATATCACCGTTATCTAGATAGGCGACACACACACACATACAAACACAAAAATACATAAAGTTGTATGCACTTAACTGTTCTTTGAAAGTTAATAAAACTTGCTGTTTCTTTTCTTCACAGTTAATAGCCAAGATACCAAACATAACTGCACTTTGCAACTTGCATGGAGAGAAGCTGCAGGTTTTTAAACAATCTCATCCAGAGATAGTGAACACACTGTTCCCCCCATTATATAAGGAACTTTTCAATCCAGATTCAGGCACTGGCTGCAAGTAAAGACAGTGGGATTTTTCACATTGCTTTGGAATGCATCACTACTAAGACAAAAGAAATGTGCTCAAGAGGACTTACTTAAAAAAATAAAAAATAATAAAAAACATCACTACAGCGGCACTAGGAATGTCCTGCACTTACTAGAATTATTTTTCACCGCTACAGTTTGAAGAATGTAAATATGCACCTCTGAGTGGGGCTCTCTTTCTCTTCTTACTTTTTTTTTTTTTGGAACTGACCATGTAACACTTCTGCTGCCAGAGGGATCTGCAGAGGAAGTATTGCAAACTCCTCTGGCAGCTGAAAGATTCGTATGAAACACTGGGTGTATTTACTTTTTATATATACATATATATATATATATGTATAATTTGAGAGACAATGGTTTATAGAATTTTATTGTAGATATCAATAAGAGCATATACTTTTATGGTATTACTCTTCTGGACTACTGTTCAAATATAATTTAAGTGATTAATTTCTATGTTCTAGATGCATGTGTAGTTTTTGCAAAGTGGTATATGTGTGTATATATATATATATATATATATATATATATACACACACACACCACACTGGATACACCTTTGATGTGGTGTAGCAATCAGTGATCCTATACTTACTCACAGAAAATGTCCTCTAGTTTTATTTCTGGCTTTCATTAATGCATTTTTTGTGTTTTCCCTGTTAAATTTAGGTATTTTATTTATGTTAGGGCAATCAAGTTTCAACCAGCGAAGCCATTGTTTGAACAATAATTGCCAATATATTGTATACTTACCAAATGGTAATAAAATCACATCAGAATATTTATGGTAAAAGCATGCCAGGTGTGTAATGTAATGGTTTTTAATGACACTAACTCACAGAGTATCAAAATGTTATATTACATAATACCATTTAATATTTAATTGCAACACACAATCTTGAAAATGAACTTAAAAGGTATGAGAACATAGTTTTCAAGGAACAATGAAAAATATATTTCTATTAAAGGATTCATAGTATGTCCATTTGTACTTCAGATCTATAGTTGTCCATTTTACAAATTACAGATGTATGCTGCATTGCTCACACATCTGGGACCCAATGGTTGAATTATAGCAGGAGTAGGCAACTTTCGGCACTCCAGTTGTTGTGGACTACATCTACTATAAAAGTCTTACAGCCATAATGCTGACAATGCATCATGGGAGATGTAGCCCATAACATCTGGAGTGGCTACTCCTGATCTATAGCAATGGTCATCAAAAGGCAGATTATTTACTACTGTGAAACTACAATTTGTGTGATGCTCTGAAAATGCATCATTGTAGCTGTTGTTCTACAAAATATGGGGATTAAATTTTCAGCTTGCCCTAATTTATACTGTAAATAACCCTCAAAAGCAGACATAAATTGTATTGAAGCGGAAAATAGTATGATCTTGCTGCAGTTATTTAAGCAGAAAATAGTATGATCTTGCTGCAGTTATTTAAGCAGAAAATAGTATGATCTTGCTGCAGTTAATATTTGATATGTGAATAAAACTGAAAATTCTTAAAAAGGTTATCTATGTTTAATTATAGTATGTAATATTATTTTACATAAACAATTTAAATGTGGAATGAGAATTGCTCAGCATAAATGTGCAAATTAAGTTTTCATGCAACCATTTTTTAATTTTTATTTATTTTTTAATATTGGAATTACATGTGCAAATTATCTAGACTGAAATATATCCCAAAATAACTTGAACATTTTAGCATACAAAAATATTAAAGAAAAATAAGTATACAATGTGGTCTATTTTAACCTGTCATTGCATATTTCTTTGCAAGCCAAACAATGTTATACCTAACCTGAAATTTAAAAACTAATAAAAAAAAAAAAAATTCCCTCTAGCACAATACTCAGCAGCCAATCAACATCAAAGAGCTTTAGTGTCATTTACTAATTTTGTAAGATAAGTTTGTTAAATACATCCTTTATTTTATTCTCAGATATGGCTGTTGGAGAATGGTGCAAGCATGGACCACTTTAACCCCTTAAGGACACATGACATGTGTGACATGTCATGATTCCCTTTTATTCCAGAAGTTTGGTCCTTAAGGGGTTAAACATCCTTCCTAAACAGACTTAAAATTTATGTTTGCATTGTTAAAACTTAGCTGAAAAGTCAGACTTGTTTTCTTGCCAACAAAATATTAATGAAAATCATATTTTTTTCATCATAACTCAAACAGAAAAGGTTCAGAAAGGCCACTGAATAACTGAAATTAATTAAAAAAAAAAATGTAGGTTTAATTGCCAAGCAGCTAGCTATAGATTTGTGATGGTTGTAAACAATAGGCCAGTCTACATGATAGTCCTTTCAATCATACAGAGTCCATGCACCATAGAATTAAAAGTGATTTTTTTTTATCATGCATTTTGTCTGTGCCAGCACAGACTGGTGTGTGGTGCAAATATATAATACAATATAAATAATGAATTAATCAATCAATCATTAAAAAAACAGAGTTTGTTAATAGGTTATGCAAAAAAGCACACAGTAAAAAAGCACATAAAGTAAACCTTTATGTTCTGATTTAACATATTTAACTGCTAAATAAGTAAATGGTCTAAAATATCTGAAACATGATTAATTAATAGATATTGAATGTTATGAGGGATTAATGAAGTATATTTCATACATAAAGCATTAGTTCATAGATTTGTACATGGCAAAATAAATAAAGAATGCATATTCTGTTTAAAACGTATCTCAACTAAATAACATTTTCAGATCTAAACAGACAGATGTACAATACATGTTTATCAACAGCAGGGATGTAATCCTTTTGGAATGAATGTCACTTCAGTGAGCCCTTTGTCTAAAGAATTAATTCCAAGAGTCATATTCATTCTTAATGGGAGGAATGCTTTGTTGATTGCTAGGAAAACAGGGTAATATAACAGTGGACAATTAAAGCATATTGTTCCCAAATACACAACATATATTCTGCACTGCGTTAAGGATACTAATGTATTGTATTTTGCATTTATTCATTTATCCCTGCTGAGAGATGGTATCGGAAAGCACAGACTCAGTCCCAAGAGCAAATTAAACTAGCAATCATTACATACAACAATGTTACCCAAATAAGAAAAAAAAAAGTTTACAGGAAAAACACATTGTGAATTTGCTGACAGAGATATTGTAAATTCGTAAGAATAATAGTAGTGATAATAATAATAATAATAATAATCACAATAATAATAAATTATAAATTAAATTGAGCAATTACCTTTTTTTAATCAGTGTGAAAGAAAGATTTTTTTTATTGTACACATTTCTCGATTGCACGGGTGCATTTTCTAATGCTATATTTGTAAAAAACAAACAAAAAAACATCATATCATTCGGTTACATTTAATGTACAGAGTGACAATCGCTGCTTGATGCAAAAATTGCATTGATATCACTCAGGGATATTAAAATAGCATTAAATTGAACTATATTTTACTGCTAGTATGATTTCTTTAAGAATCCACAAGTAAAAAGTATAGTGTTACTGTATAAATATATATTTACCAATGGAAAATGCCAAGGGGGTCTACTGATTTGAAGTGAGCAACAACCAGAAAATATGTGTTAAATTTTTTATTTTTTTTTAATCTAGCAAGCAGTGTTATGTTGATCTAAATTTATGATGCTGTCAGCTCACTGCTAATTGAATAGACCTAATCACCTGTCCTTTGTTGTTTTATTTTAGGGATGACTAAACACATTCAAGTGCCATAATTTTCAACCAGTCAGTGATTAAACTCATAGTTGATCTATAACTGAAGTTCAAAGACTTATCCAATAATATTCTAGTCCAGGGGTAGGCAACCTTCCTCACTCCAGATTTTGTAGACTGCGTCCCCTATAATGCTCTTACACCCATAATGCTGGCAAAGCATCATGTGAGGTGTAGTCCAAAACATCTGGAGTGCCGAAGGTTGCCTATGCCTGATCGAGTTCATAACATAATGAAAAACTGCTTAACTACGATAAAGTTGTTTTGGTGACTAAAGTATCCCTTTTAGACATAATGAAGATTTGAGCTTTTATGGAGAAGTCTTATTTTCTGTTAGCGATAAAGTCATATTACCTTCAAATATTCAAAATGCTAATTCATATTATTAAAATGCCTAAAAATAAAGTTAAAAATAGAGTTTCAGGCTACTAAATGTCACATTCAAAGAGTACACTTAGACAAAGTGATTATTTTTAAATGTTGCATCAATTTAATCTACACATTTAGTATTTCAGGGAATCCAGAAGAGCATCAATCACAAATTCCTTTAATTAGTAAAACAATGCCATCTACTTGTCCAGACTGGATATTTCAGCATAACAAGCTATAATTTGCAAAATAAATCTGAAGTACATTGACATACTACCTGACTTATATAAGAAATAATAAGGTTAACCTTTACAATTCATAGCCATTTTGTGTTTATTTTTATCCAGATGACAGATTCTGTGTTAGAAAAAGACGACTAAGACATTAGTTCTGGATTACTATGTTATTCAGTAATTGTCATATTTACCCTACCAAACACATTGATTACATTATTCTAACCATGAAACGGTTTTGTAATCCAAATCCTAAGCAAACACTTAACACCCAGCGCATGCATCGAGAATGTATCAGGTTACACAAAATGATAGGGGTGGGTGGAGTGTTCTACTTTGTTTGCACTGTTTGAATTCAATGGCTCGTAAGTGTGCTTTAAGATGGTTAAAACACAGCAGCAATAATTGTAAATGCACAATATGGATTTGTTAAATTTGTGGATATGTATGTTGTCTTTTGTAATTTCGTGTAAAGAATTTCTGCATTTTTTTTAAATTTCAGAATTAAATGAATGAGTGACACAAAATAATTCCTTTGTCTTACAAACTAAGTATAGGGTAAAATTCATAAGCATATTTTGGGCCTCTGCAGAATTATCTTCATTTTTTTTTATCCTTATTTTCTCTAATTTGGTATTCTTATGTCAAAACTGTATTAACAGCCTTCAAAAAGGATTAGACAGCTGACATGAACAGATGGGCCACTACAGAGAGCAGACTATACCTTAAAGGCTGGTCTGCTTTAAAACCCAGCTCATAAAAGCACTTATATCTGTTTTGATTAGACTGCGAGTTTAACAAATCAGAAACGAAGGGATTATTTTGTCAGCCTGTACTGGGCATTATACGCAATGCAGTTTTTAGCTTTTTTCAAACTCTTCAGTACGTTAAATAATTATGGTTTTGAGAATATGATAACAAAGCATACAGAAAATGTATTTTGATCAAGTATGAATTCTTGACATATAAAAATAGAAACGCACACACACAAGCAATCTAGACAGTTAATCCCCTTTTAAAATATGCTTCTGTCTACTATTTGATGTCAGATAATTCACCCAGAGTCCCATGACATTAATTTTGGAGTTAAACAGGTCCGCCTCCATTCCAATACTAAAGGACCAACCATTTGCAATTTGCTAGTTGATGTAAACCCACATAATACATTTCTCTTCTATATAGGACTATACATAACTAGTTGTAGGCAATAGACAACAAAGCACAACTTCAATTAAACTGTGTGTCCAATTACAGTTGTATTCACCAGCATATGATTTTTATAAATGTATTGATCAAATAATTCCTTATTGATAGTGCTAAGCATGCCTTTGTAATCATTTATGAAGAATTTTAGAAGTACCGATAACAAATTAAATATATTCTTTTCAGATACAATGTGCTATTCCATTTCCATTAAATCTATCAATTTATGGAAACAGCGACCCACTAATAAAATGAGTATTTCAAAAGGGTCTGTGTGACTTGAAAACCTAAATGGAAGTTGCATAACCTCTGCCTTATTCTGTTATATATTTGGTACCACTAAGTTTTGAGACAGAAGAATGAATCCTGTTTCATTCTATACATGTAATCAGTCTAATAATGCAATTATTACATTTATTTCTGTAAAACATACAATTGAATTAAGATTTCGTAATTTAACAAAATCTAGATGTCAACATACACACCTGTTGTTATTTAGCCATTTTCACGTGATCATTTATTCCAGCTTTTTTATACACAAACGTATTATTTGTGATCAATATTTGGGATTAAAAAATGTGTGCTCTAATGTTTTCTAAGAACGAATACATTTTATGTGACCTTACTTTCTTCAGTACTGGATTAGCCATTGTTAGATTAGCATTGATCCATAGCCTTTAGCACCAAAAAGCTTTACTGTAGCAATAAATTGTGGTGATTGGCACTGTCTGGTCATTAACTTGAATCTATCCTTTCCTATCTCTCTAATATCAATACTACCATGTTGACTCCAAATATTAACCTGGGGGCGCATTGTTACACTATAATCAAGGTGAAAACATCTCACAATGTGAAATAAAGTTTTTAATCAGCATGAAAAACAGGTTAGATGTGACTCCATATCTAATAAGCAATGTTAAATATAGTGTCTTAAACAGTAGCTTTATGTAGCAAAGAGCCCCTTGTATATCTCTCAGTGGAAATTTAAAAAGTATTTATAAACCCAAAGATTTTTCTAATATGAATAAAAAGGCCATATTTTTTAATCTGGTGCTGGCAATATTTAATCACCCTATTTTAGGTCTTGCCCCACTATAACGCCATGATCAAATCTCCATATTAAGTCCAGTCCACTGAGATATATTGTTTCCACTGTAGTCCCCTGTGGGAGCTGTGGCTATTGTATCTACTGCTTGTATGGAACCCTAATTATTATATCATTATGTAAGTGATGTTGAAGACTGGATAATACACAGGTGTTTCTTATTGCTGAGAAAATGTGTCTTAGTTTCTATAAAGATGTATGTTTAAATGTTGTTTATACAATGTCCACTAAATTGCCCATGCTACTTTCTTATTTAAGATAATACAGAATAATATAGGAAATATTTTGAAGATGCAAACTAAATGATAAATGTTGCTATAGGATATTACATTGTGATCAAAAACTAATTGATCAGATGATGAAGATGTGTTTTCCATTTTAAATTTAGCTGTACATATGCAACATAAACAAATAGATTAAAGGGACACTCTAGTCACTGTAACCACTTTATTCTGTTGCTTAAAGAGTTTGGAGTCCCCTGGTGTTATCCGTCCATTCAGTATTAAACCATTTTAATTGTTTAATGCTGAACAAGAGTTTCCAGCAACATATCAACTCTATGTTTATTGATCTTTTGAGAAAGCATTGGGTAGCAGTGATCGGCGGACAATGTCAACTGACTGCTTTCAGCCCATCACAGCTACCCATTGCTCATATAAGTTTGTATGGATAAGGAAGTGTGTAATTTCTGCCATACATCCAGTGGGAGTCATACTGTGTGTGGCCAGGGGACTTCATTCTGTGTTAAACCTAAAGGAGTAACAGTCAATTAAATTAGATGACATTTTAATTACAGGTGCAATGACTTCATGCTGCTCCTTAGAAATTGTTCACCACTGGTCATTCATATTCCATGGCAATAGATGCAATAATCTCATGAGGATTTTGAGTGTCTATTTTCTATTTGACCATAATGGGATATATAATAAAAACCCTATGTTCAGTCTATAATCTCCTGTGGAACATGGTGACTGCTTTTTAGAGCATGTACAGGTATTCCTCACTTACCGACTGGGTTACGTTCTTACAACCAAGTCGTAAAATGAATTGGTTGGTAAGTGTGAATGCGCTAGAGAGCAGGTCTACGTTTGGGGGAATTACTCCAAAAATAGACCAGTTCACTAGCACAGGGAATCCCACAAATCTATGTTCGAGGAAACTTCCCGGAACATAGCGCAGGGAATGCATTGCAAATATCAGTTTAACTCCAACAAATAACCAGAAGATAAACCCCCTTCCATCTGTAACAATCAACATCACCACCATTTTATCTTTAATATGTAATACAATAACAAAACATTACGTTATCGTCAGTATAAAAAAATAATAATAATTTTCTGCATCAAATAGCTTAGTAACTCATTAGTCCACTTTAATATTTGTATTTATTTTGATGTCCATGAAAATATGCTTTCTCTGAGCTATATCTTTCTGGCCAGCTTATTTACTGGCTAATTCCTAAAGCCATATTAGATTTTTAATGAAAAATAAAACAGCTAATGAACACTATACATATATACACTAAAAGTGATGACAACATTGAGCAACTATTTTATAAAAAAAAAAACAAAACAGTATATTGAACATATTTATTACATGACAGGGAGATTTGTCTTTAAAGTAATTACCAATTGTATATAATGTAGAAGAGAATCAAATATTGTTGCTATTTTAAAAAATTTAATTACTAAATACATCTGGTAAATATTGCGACTTGGGGTCAAAGACTCCACAAAGAACAGTTAATATTTTTCTATAAAATAATCAGTAAAGCAACCGTGGTTCATATCTTTTAAACAACTCATACATTTGTGTTTCTTCTTAATCAAAATAACTATATTTGCATTTTATGTCTGTGTGTTAGGGTTTATTCAGTAACAATTGGATTGTAGTGCAACAGAAATCAAATTGCTAAATTTATGCAAAAATAGCCAAGCTGTAACTACCCTTCGGTTTTCAATTCACTACAATTCCGTGCTTAATAAATAAACCCATTGCTAGGAAAATACAATTGAAAAATGTTTACTCTGCTTCACGTTATTGTGCAATAACAAGATAGTTTAGTCAGTGAAGTACATGTGTTGAATAAGTTGGACAAGTGATTTGCAAACTTAAGAACAAAATGGTCTTAGTTAGTATATATACATCTGAACTAGAGCATTTTTCCAACACAAATAATTTGCCCAAACGTTTGCAAGCTGGTTCTCAACCACAGTTCATTTTAAGCCACAATATTATGTCTTTAAAGGGACACTGTAGCAGCTTCATCCCATTAAAGTGGTTATAGTGTCTGGAGTCCCCTGGCTCTGTCCTTCCATTAATTGTTAAATAGTTTTTAATGTTTATTGCTAAACGAGAGTTCTCAGCAGCCCGTTCACTCTGTGCTGCTTGAGGTAATGAGAAAGTATTAGCCTTAACAGCAGTTATGATTGTCTTGCAGTGTCAGCTGACCACATTCAGCTTCTAACAGTGCCAATTGTTGGTATGAATTGGTATGGCTAGAATGAAGAGTGTCATGTCTGCCTTAGCCATACCTCCAGTGTGTGCTGGGCTGTTTGGGCCAGGGACCCTTATTTAGTGTTAAACTGCTTGAAAATTGTTTAACACTGAATGGAGGGAAAGAACGAAAGCACTCTTTAATGAGATGAAATTGTTACAGTGGCTACAGTATTTTACAAGAGAGAACAGAAAATGTGCTTAAGTTTTCTCTGAACAAGCATTATTAAAAGAATATTACTGTTTAAAAATCAAAGCATTTATTATTTAGTTATTTCATTTAAAAACTGAAAGACCCCTTTCTTTTTTTCTGGCAGAGACAGTTTCTAGAAATTACTGAAGGATAAGCTCCTTTCAGTCATTGCTGTTTCTAAAATATATTGGTGGCCTATTTTAGAAATAACTATATATGTTCCTATGTGGCGTAGCACAAGTTTAATGTTAACCCTGCCAACAAATCAGGCAATCACATTATATCTGGGTTGAGTTTACAACAAGAAAAAGCACAACTCCGTAATTCCAGAATGCGGGCTTTTCTAGAAATGTGTGAAATAGGATTCTGTAAAAAAAAAAAAAGAAAGCTCTGTAAAATGAGGGTTAGTAATCTTAAACACTAATATTCACTTAATGTATCATTGCATAAAGTGCTTGACTGTTTTTAGAGTTCTTTTGAATTTCAAGGTTTATAGATGTTTTATAAGAGAAAATGCCTCTCTACACACCTGCTGTTCACCCCTGTTTATTGTACTTTACATTACGTCTCAATTAATATAGAAATATAAAGGTGCAGACTAGCGTACCCTGCTGACACATATGCATTCTTGTTCTGGGCTTTGTGTTTCAAATGACTTTTTATGCTTCCTCTTACAGCCTTGAATTGGTTTCTCTATTTACCACTTTCTCCAGATGGTTTGTAAGCTCCATTGTGAGAAGTTAACTCTTGCAATGCCTCAGTAGTGAAACTATTTTCATAACTGCTGCTTCCTCTCTGGGTACAGATATAAAATGTATATATTTCCAATGTTCCTAAAGACAAAAAGGAATGTTCTTCTATGGGGAGAGAAGAAAACACAGGTTTGGTAGAGACCGAGGATTCAGAAATGTTCTGGTCTGCTTTGTAATTGTATTTTATATGCTATTGCTGAAAATAAGACCTGGGTGGTCACGAAATATGTGTTGTTTTGTTTTTACCTCATTTTGCCATTTAAGATTTCACCTATATCAGGTGCTATAGGCATCATAAATGCAGGAGATTGTATATTTTTAAGCATGCTATACTTCTTTGTGTTTAAATCTTGTTTTTGTTTTTAACCAGAAGACCTGCACCTTTAAATCTTAAGTTAACAAATTCATATATGTCGTATGTACTGTTTATTGGTGCTTTTGTTCATGTGAGTTCTCTATTGTTAATTTGCTATGGGGGCCCATGCTATACTTTAATCTTTACTCATAGCTAAACATCTGACCCTATTGCTGTTGTCAGCTCCTGTTACTAAGGGTGCTTAAACATGTCATCAGCCCATCATTGGGTTCATAGTCAGTGTGAACTGCAGGATTAGACTGCTGAAGGATATATGAAGGACAAACAAATGGCCTAGCCACCATTTTCTGCATCTCAGGAGTGTAGATGTTTAGTTAAGGAAACGCCATTGCCTGACATCAGTTGTACAGAAATATTGCTCTTCGAACTTTGTATGAAAAGAATGAGTTCTGTAAGTATGTCATGTACAGTCACATAAATTCTTTTTTGCAGAACGTAAATGTAATATAGTGTATTTCTACTGCCCTGTGTTTGCCTGAGAAGGGCAAAAACACAGAAATGTGACATGATAAAAAATCTCCAATTCTCCCCATTTGTTTATTTAGTTTTAAAAAAATCTGCTAAACATAAAGTTATACATGTGGGGTATTGGGAGTTTTTTTGTTTACTCTTTTTGTTCTGTTCTCATGGACCAACATTTCCTTTTAAAACGCTAAGGTTCCATGTTATTTTAGAATGTAATAGATTTTGTCTCATGTCCTGTAAATTATTAGTTTACTGTATTGTTAGCATTTCATTTTAATGCACACATGATTTTTGAATGTTTTCTGTAAATGACAATCAATGTTTCTTTCTTTAATGCAGAAGAAAATTAAAAATATATAAACCACAAAAGTATTGTCATCTTGTTTTGATGGGATGGACATGGGGGAAGAGTGCCTCTCCTCTTCAGATTCTCCTCTTTTAAATCCTCAACAACACTGTCAAGGAAATCATGACGTCTGTATGATTTACGGTTCCAGATTAGCATGCATAGATTACAGGCCCGGAGAAATCATTTAACACAGTATTCTCCAACCCAGTCCTCATGGACCACCAACAGTTCAGGTTTTGTCAGTATCTCCATTGGAATAAAAAAGGGAAATACATAAATCCTGGATTGTTGGTGATCCCTGAGGACTGGGTTCGGGAACACTGATTTAACACACAGACTAAAACCAGACATTGGTGACAGTGGTGTAGTATGGGTTGACAGTGCCTGGGACAACACAAGTATAGTGCCCCCAAACCTGTGCCTAGATAGCATTACTCCTCCTTCCCTAACTGCCTCATCTCCATGATGTGTGTGACACTGATAGATTTTTAAATCCACCCCACGCCTAAAGAAATGTGTGATACCATTTTATTTATTTATATTTATATAATATTTTACCAGGAAAGATACATTGAGATTCCTCTAGTATCTCCTAGGTCAACAAAACATTGCATTGTTACAACAGGGTACAATATTACAAGAAAAAAAAATAATAATAATAATACAGTATACAATATATATATATATATATATATATATTTGTGTTCGGTGCTATTCTTGTAACGTAAACATATGTATAGTTTGATGTAAATTATAGATATGAACAAGTCGGTTGAAGTGTGCCTTAACCGACGTATGTGGTAGGCCTGTAATAAAGAGGGCCCACACTAATTATAAAATAATAAATTAAATATAAATTGAGTTGAGGGAGTGGTGGGTGGGGCCTGCCGACCGTCTGAATCCACGGTGATGCAGGTAAAGGGGGGAGTGCTTAAGTAGGATCAACAAGCCCCTCCCACAACTCCAAGCAAGCCTTTACATTTGTGTTTGGTGCTATTCTTGTAACGTAAATGTATGTATAGTTTGATGTAAATTATAGATATGAACAAGTCGGGTGAAGTGTGCCGAAACCGACGTATGCGGTAGGCCTGTAATAAAGAGGGCAAAAATTTGCAGAATCTTGCCAAATAAATATTTATTGCATAGATGAAACATAGTGCAAAGAAAATACCTCAAGATGACAATTTTACAAAAGCAGACCTCATTTAAGGTATACATGTGGTGTTGGATGCCGATTAAATATAATTGGATGCCGATTAAATATAATTTAATAGTGTTGTGGGATAGTTTGAGTTTGAGATGACAAAACGATGCCAAAGGTACCAGAGTTGAAATAGTAAAAAACTGAACCAAGTTATGTTCTAACATAAATCTCTTATATAATGTGAAAGCTCTATTGTAAGACAGATTTGTGTTCTCAGAGAGGGCCAAACTAGCCAAGGCGAGACTATGCCTTGCTAATTCTTTTAATCCATTATCAGTTCCTGAAAACACAGTGCTGCAGTGGCTGTTGGGGAGGCCGTGGTTAACGTGTCTCTAAAGGACTGGAATTCAAAGTGAGACAATTTGTCAGCTGCAGTATTATAAATCCCTGGTACATGACAACACATGAAATAAAATTGATTACAGGCTGCCAACATGGTCAGTTTTCTCATGAAACTCATGATCGTCAGAGGTGAGGAACATCCCTTGTTTATGATTTGGCAGGTAGCTAAGTTGTCGGAGAAACAGCGTACCGAGCTACCTGCCCAAGACTGACCCCATACCACGGCTGCTTCAACGGTAGGGTATACCTCGAATAAGGCTGAGGTGTGTGAGAACCCTTCAATGTGCTGAACCTCCTCTGGCCAACTATCCCAGAGCCACTCATTGCCAAATATGGCAGCAAAACCTGTTGATGCTGCAGCATCCATCCAAATGACAGGAGACTGAATAGACAATTGTGGTAAAAACATACTTCTGCCATTCCATTGCAACAAGAATTTGCGCCACATTAATAAATCAGCAGTAGCCTGTGAATCCAGGCAAATACGGCTAAAGTCATCTGGCAATAGTGGAAGAAGGCCAAGGAGTCTAGAAATAATGGCTCTACCTTGCGGAATGATGCATATTGCAAAATTTAATAAGCCCAACAAAGATTGCAATTCCTTCCGATTGCATGTCCTATTATGCAGAAAGTAATTTATGGTTTGTAAGATACCATCAATTTTGCCTAAGGGGAGGCTAGCTTCCATTTTTGTTGAATCAAGCAAGATACCCCAAAAATTTACCAACGTGTCAGGGCCTTCTGTTTTCTTGGGAAAACGAGATGGCCTTAGTAAGATCACTGAGAGGGGAGGAATTATTCTCCATGAACAAAAAGTCGTCTAAATAATGTATCACCGCATGGCATCTGCAATTGTTCAACAGGAGCCAACAGAAGGTTTCGGCAAAGGTATTGAATATTTTTGGGCTGCTTTTCAACCCGAAGGTGAGCCTTGTAAAACCATGCAGATGCCATAGCGACGGGCATATGGGTAGTAATTTAAATGCATTGATGATGTCTGTCTTACTCAGCCAAGCCCCTACACCAGCAGTAAGAATGAAGTGTATGGCGTTGTCTATGGTGGCGTACTGAAGGGAAAATTCCTCGGATTGGATTAGAAAGTTAAGGCTAGGTATGGCCAAGGTGAGGTGCGGACAGATCTAAAATGAGTCTGTTTTTCCCTGAGGATTTCCCGGTCACTAATCCTATAGGGTTGGTTCTCCAATTAGAAAATGGGGGCGCCTGAAAAGGTCCCAACAAAAACCCATCTTCCAATTCTCTTTGTAAAAGAGCTCAGCTGTTTCCACTTCAGAAAACGCTGATTGCAAATTGTTGCATTCATCAATGCCAGCAGGGGTATGTACCAGACCTGTATGTAATCCCTCGGTGAAACCATCAATTAAAAAATCCACTAGATGTTTGGATGGGTAAGAAAGCTAATGCGTGAGTCAAAGAACCAATGTTTACGGATGTCAGATACGGTTTAGCATGACTTTTATTAGGACACATGGACTTGGCATGAGCCCTAAAACAATGTGAACAACATATAACAATCTGCAAAGTGTCTGCAAAATAGCTCAATATCCATACGGCTCCAGTCAGTTTTAACATTGTACTGAGCCAAAATTGCAGACGACCTTGCCGAAAATGACCGGTGATAATCATAAAAGGATGACCCACCATATTTATTTCCCAAGTCCACCAGCTTGTGCAAATAAAGGTTGAGTTCCTCTCATCTATGCAGGTGGAAGCACAAATTGCACAAGCCAGTGTCTTTAGACCAGCAAAGTGTCTGCAAAATAGCTCAATATCCATACGGCTCCAGTCAGTTTTAACATTGTACTGAGCCAAAATTGCAGACGCCCTTGCCGAAAAGGACCGGTGATAATCATAAAAGGATGACCCACCATATTTATTTCCCAAGTCCACCAGCTTGTGCAAATAACGGTTGAGTTCCTCTCATCTATGCGGGTATTCCGAACAAATTATATACCAAATACAATGACAAAATCGGGTATAGACAGTTTCTTATTAAGTCTAGGGTCCCTGGCCACCACCAAAATATCACCATAAGCATAAGTGCGATTCTCAATATCATCGTGTGAAGCGATAAGAAGTGCAACAAGATTATTCATCTTTCCCCTCCAAGATATCTTTCTTAATGTTTGCGGGAACCTTATGTACCGGATTATTAATGTGGGTTTAGGAACCAGAAGGTAAGTAATTACCGGTTTGTAATAGTGGAGCGTCGGGGAGTACAGTAGCTGAGGGCATAGATGACATAGATGACATAACAGGAAGGCTCCGAGCCTCGATCCTATCAAGCCTATTGTTAACCTTCCCCATAGATGCTACCAGTGAGGCAACCATGGTATGAAGGTCTGAGTTGCCTGGACCACTTGTCCCCTCTCCCGCCCCTGAGTTATCAGTATTAGTCCACATTAGCTTGAATAGTTCAGCTTTCCTGGCCGTAGCAGGAAAAGAGATACTGCGTCTACGAAGCTCTGCATTAATACGAGGGATTGTACATAATCTTATAGAAGTTGGGCTACCGATGTCACCTTTTTGTGAAGGAGACAAGGGCCTGACCGGAGTACTGGGGAGAGACAAATTGTATCTTCAGGTAGCTGAGACATACTAAAAGAAAAATATTCAAGACATAATCAGCAACTGTACCATATTGGTTACTGGCTGGCTAACTAATGCCAAGTGGCGAAACTATTTCCTAAGTGTGGTGACAGGTGAGGCCCTACTAGATGGCAAGTGACTTGAGAGGCTCTATCTATCGATTGGCGCAAGGGAAAATGCTGCCACCGAAACGTTGTGGCGCTAAATCACTCGGGTGCTCGGTAAACCGTAGACCTCTCGATGACAACTAAAAGCATAAGGAAGGGAGTGACAAGGGAGGCCCTCTCTATGCAACCATGCGACGTGGCTAACTATGATTTGGCCCTAGGGGCTATATCCTCAAGCATGGAGGAAAGGGGTTGGCCTCACGGGACCACTATCACTGAGGTGAAGAGGCCAGAAAATCTTTTATATTAGTGGCCACCTAGATTTGAAGAGCCAGTAACACTCAACCCATATCAATGAGGAAAGGGCTTGAGGGGGGGGGGGGTCAGTCAGAAACGTACCTGACACCCACTTGCGTGTTGGCTAGGTCAGAAATTGGTCACAACCCAACAAAGAATCAGAGAATTCCACCACTACTAGTGGAAGAGAGGTTTAACCATAGGTGTGCGCACGGGGTGTGCCGGGTGTGCCTGGGCACACTCTAATCCCTGCGGCATGCCTATGGAGTGAGACCGGCAGGAGAGATCTCAGGATCTCCCCTGTCGGCTCATGCAGAGCCGGCGCTATCTGAGCGCCGGCTCTGCTCTCAGCCTCGCTCCACACTGCAGCATGGATGGAGGCAGGAGAGGACCCGGGGAGTTCAACCAGCAGGGGCTAGAGCTCACTCTCCAC